CAGCTACTACAGGCCGATGCATTGATCCGCACAAAATGCAGGGGCTCGAGGCAATCCAAAATTTGATATTTTTATTTTTTGGGTTTGGCATTGTGCGATAGGCATCAAGTTTAGCTGATTTTGTGACAGCGTGAGATTGCTGGCTTTGCAATTACAGCTTTGATGGGGAGAATTCTTCCTTGGACTTCGGAGTGCGTTGTGTGGGAGAGAAGGATTTGATTAGCAAATCCTTTTGTCAAAAAGTTGCATGTTGTGTACATTTCAAAAACACAGCCACATACAAAGGTTAAAAAGGGTTTTTTGCATAGGGAAAAATACTCGTATGTTCTTTAAGCTCGTTTCAGACCGACTAAATTAATTCAACTCAAATATATGACTGTTAACAGCCTTGCAATGAGGAAGTCTCCCAAATATTCCTGTCACATCGGATGTTTGACACTAATGAGAACTATTAAACGTAAACTATTAACAAAACCCATTTCATAACCCTGGACTAATTCGCGAGACGAATCTATTGAGCCTAATTAATCTATTATTAGCCTATGTGATGCTATAAAGATGTGCTAATTATAGATTAATTAGGCTTAAAAAATTTGTCATGTGAATTAGCTCTCATTTATGTAATTAGTTTTATAAGTAGCCTATGTTTAATACTCCAAATTAATGTCAAAACATCCGATGTGATAGTTTAATCCGTGGATCCAAACACCACCACGGAAAACAAAGCAAAATATTAGCACATAATTGATGAAGTATTAGTTAAAAAAATCTTGACAAATAGATTAATATAATTTTTTTAAAACAACTTTGTCGACGGGGGATACCCGTAGACCGGATATAGAGGGTATTGGGGTCCGTTGGTATGAGGATCTACGTAGTACGATATCAAGCAAACAAAAGACAAGGATTATACTAGTTCAGGTCCCTTGGTAGGTAATAGCCCTAATCCAGTTGGTATGGCATTATATGATGGAAACCACAGATTACAAAGGGAATAGCAGAACTCGATGATACCGATAAGACCGCAGTCGAGTTGGTCCGACTATATCTCCCGGCGACTTGGCTCCTGCACGCTCTAGCTCCGTAGGCTGTGGTGGGTGTGTTGGCAGTGATATTTGATGCCTTAGGTCCTGCCCAGGGGGTCCCTTATATACCGCGGGTCAGTTGATCTCCAAGTAGGACTCGGAGATATCGGACCCCTCACGATATGGTAAAGACCCAGTTTTGTCCGAGTAGAACTCCTTCCATCCGTAGATACCGTCTCTATCACGTGATAGATTTCCTTAACGTATACGGAAACTATTCGTATACGCGCGGGTATACCGTATCAGTATACAACATACATCCAAGGATAAAGGGTATACCTTATCCGTAACCCTGACAAACTTCCCTATAGAAAATCTTCGAAAAAAATGCAATTTGGGAAGTGTGCGCGGAAAACAAGAGAGAAGAGGTTGGGAAAGTTGAGAGAAGAACACAACCTAAGGAGGGATTAATTCATCCCTCATATAACAAAATCAAGAAATTATATGTTTGCATGCAACCAATGAATATTAAGATGGTCGCTCTAGTTTCGATCAAAAATTTAATTTAGCATTGTAAAATGAAAAGACAGCCCTTTTATTTAAGTTTTAGATGTATGAAGACTACAGATAAGCATATCTCATTTGAAAAAAAAATACAAAAAATGAAATTGGATAAAGACTTTAGGATAGATGGAGTACTATGCATCTATCCCCTCTCGCCCATAAGACCATTTAGCTTGACAACATCACCTATTGCACTAAGTCTTTGACTGTGACTACAACTAATTAGATTGGCTATCATTTAGACCTTGTTCAGTTAATCCCACCCACAAGGGGATCGAGGAGGATTTGGAGGAGAATAATTCCACACCTATTGAGATGTGGAATTAATTTTTCACAATCCCTCTAATCCCTCTCTTGTTGACTAAACGAAGAAGGCCTTGCGTGGTTGTAAACCTAGTTACCATGCATGATATCTTGGTTGTGGATGGGCTTAATGCGTGCCATGATGGACTATTTGGGTGGTGATGTGGATAATGGTTAGGTGGGGCTAACCAAATTATTTGTTGTATCTTAGAAAAGGCCAGTTTGTTTCCTTTTTTAAAAAAAAATAAAAAGCTAGTAGTTTCCACAGTTAGTTTTAATTATCGATAGCTAAAAAATATCGAAGGGTAGCGATAAATGGGATTATCAGATTTATCGGAATTCTAACGGTGATAGAAAAAAAATTTGGATAAAATTTGAAAAGAAATTGAACAAAAGTTGTTAGGAAATCATACAGATTATATCCAAACCATTTTGTATAAAAAATTAATATATACTTTATAAATGAGATAATATCAACATTTTTATAGCACACACAACGCAAGCAAATGGAAGTGAAAAAAGAGAGAGAGAAGAAATTCATATCTTTGCTTGAATCGAACACAAAACCTATTGATTAAAACCTACAGGTCATAACGAATTAATCAAAGCAACTTTGTAGTAGTTATTGACGCTATGTCCAGAAAATTCAAAAAAAACCCGAAATGTTTGGCCGATAGGAGATTTTATCGGGGGTAGCGATAAACGGGAAAATCGGACTTATCAGTGACCTTGTGCTTTGATAATTGAAACCCTACGGCCACCCTAGGATAACACATATAGCACATGGTAAATGTGAAAACTAGATGAAATTTGTCGACGTTTGATGTCGCGATTCCGGTATTTGCATAGTATGAGGATCGTTGGTATTATGATATATGCGAGATTGTAATAAAAGATATAGGGACGAGGATTTTTATACAGGTTCGAGCCCCTAAATTGTCAAGTAATAAGCCTACTCCTGTTGGTCGAAGCCGGTCGTTGCTCTTATTCATCATAATCACACTAGTACAATATTTGGGGTAGCCTATCTAACTATTGTCGACATGGCGGTCTGAAGTGCTGACTCATAGTCGACAACAGGGTAGCCTTCCTCCTAGAATCCGCATCCAGCGAGATCAAAGACATCGCTATGTCTCTCCTGACAGTATTCGTAGACGCTGTAGGGGACTAGCCATACTTATCTCTGAAGTCGATATCCGGCGTCTTGTTTTGGCGTATGTTGGCTTGTATGTTGATCTTATGTCTTGATCTATTGTTTCGTGTCCCCTCTCCTCCTATGGAGCCTTGTATTTATACCCATAGGTGTCCCCTTGTCCAAGTAGAACTAGGAAAACCAATATGGATACAATCTGAGTAGTTCTTGTCGTTTCCATGTAGAACTCTATTCATCCTTCCTTGTGCGGAACTCCTCCTATATCCGAAGATTGTTTCCGTATAAGACATAGTATGTGGTGGGTCCTGCCGAGATTTAGTCAACTACTATTAGGTATGTGGTATCCATAACCCTGATAAAATTCATATTAAAAAAAATTGAATTCAAAAATTCAAACTCAGGGGGACAAACATTATTCTTGGGAAACCCGAAAAGTGAGAAAAAGTTTCAAAAATTCAGGTAAATCATAGATAATTCTAGAAAAAGTAGGGCAAATTCAGAAGATGTAAAAGAATAAAGCAATCAAGCATGCAATTTCGTGTGACCATTTTTGTATTTTGGAAACTGAAACATAGTAGAAATCACGATCGGCTCTCTAAGATAGGTTTTGTGAATAGCACTCACTATTAGCCTAGCCCATTTGCTTATTTTTCTTTTTTTTATTTTCAACTTGGGTTGGGTACAAAATATAAAGTTAACTTCATATATTTCATAAATGTTTCACCAGATAGCACTATACTACTTATATGATTTTATTTTTAATTTCCTCTCTTTGGAAAAAGAAATGAATTTAAATAAATTTTGCCAAACCTTACTGGTCGTTTCCGCTACTAAAGCTCGATGGTAAGCCTAGTTTTCGTGGTAACTACCAGTAATTAAACCCTATGTGTAACATGCTACAACCATGACCTATTTGGATGCGAAGGTGACCATGGTAAGGTGGGGCTAACCAATTTATTGGTTGCTTCTTAGAAAAGCCAATTGTTCTGCTAAAATAGAAAAGAAAAACAAAGTGCTTCAAAGTTTTCCTATTACTTGCGGTGTACATTCATCCAAAAAATTATACAGCTTGGAACACATTCCTAGGTGTGCCATTCATTTGGTACATAGCTAATAAAGCATTGGAGAATGTTACTACTCTGGATTATTCACACTATCCTTATGTAGATGTACATTCAAAATAAGAAAATGGAAGGACATCCAAAAAAGGGCAAAGATATAAAGAATTATAATATTGTAATTATGCATGTGGACCACAGATGCATGCTTGTCATGAGGTACGTTGTTTTTTCCCTCTAGTTGGTGGGACAAATGTCTTTGTAAATACAGGCATCTGTTAGAGGACGTGTATTGCAACAAACAGCAGAACCAGACGAGGAAGAAAGCATGTATTTCTTGAAGGTACATCCTTGTAAGAAAAAAAATGCGTATCGTATTGAATGATATGTGAATATACGAACAAAATATTTGTCACAAATAATTGGTGCACCCATACAAGGAAGAAAAAATGTATTGTATTAAATGACACAGCCATAAATGGATCAAAATATCTGTCACATTAAATTTTAATGATCCAGCCTTGTGCTACAGAGGAAGATATGTGTATCTGTTAAAAAAGTATCACATTAAATGGTATCTTCAAATAAGAAGCAAAATATAGGTAGAATTAAATTGTGCAAATGAAAGATGTATATATGTAGAATTAAATGATACGCCCATATATTGAAGAAATATATATCGCATTAAATGTTGAATCCTTGTATGGAGGAAGATATGTATCAGTTAAAGCGATACACTTTATTTTGTCATTACTACAGTATGCCACCAATTCCAGTTGGAAGCATGAGCTGTAAATGTTCAGGGCAACCAGGACGTATTCACACACGACAACATCTATTTTGGACCCTTTTGTGTTAGTATTATATATTTGACAAGTTGTTTAAGGCTATCCCCTTTATACTACTTTCCTCTCTCTCTCTCTCTCTCTCTCTATGAGTAATAACGCTTCAAAGGGCGTAGCTCCAATGAGTGGTTCTGAATATTCAAGTTCTGACTCAGAGGCGACTCTGGATGACATTCCTCCTATAGTGATTGATGCAGATTTAGAGGAAGAGGAAAATATGTCTGATATGTCATCCATGTTGAATCTTCAAGGTCCAGATAAGCTTGGCAATAATCAACCTTTGGATATTGTACCTTTGAACTCCATTCCCTTCAGGCAAGAGGTGGCTTTTCACCAAAAAGTGGATTCGAGTAAAGAAGAGGTTCCGGTTCCTCAATGGATGAAACAACTCGATAACTACAAAGATGGGGACTGGACAGTGTTCCTTCAAATAAGGGATGATGGACATAAAGATTGGGTTAGTGGTGCAATCTTACATTTCTTTATTAAATTTGTTACATATGCTTTGCTTTTTTATATATATTTTTGATATATCTAGAATAGTGAGGATTGATACACTTTTGAATAAGGTGTTTGCGTTTTATTTCAAGATCTACTAGATTTATTTTAAGCAATAGTATTTAGGCTTCTTACTTTTTCTTTCAAAATATTATGACATACTATCAATTAGTTTTTTCTTGTTTTGTTGACTTGTAAATAACTTCCATTTGTTTGTCAATATATTGATGAATATTATGTACATCTAATTCAATCTTGACATATCATCACATTTATAATATCTAACAAAGCACGCTTGAAAGAAATTAAAGCTTTCTTGTGTTATCATGTAAAAAATATATGAAATGGATATTTTCACCACACGATAATGTAATCATTTATACTATTAATACAATTTTATCAGTATCTACAAGTTGTACATTAGAAGATGAATGCATTTACTATAAAACAGGACAATCCGATGGCATAGAGTAGCGACTAATCCATACTATTTCCAAAATAAAACGATCGATTTGGTTGAATATTATTAAAACCATTTAAAATATATTGGTTATGTTTTATATGAATTAAGCGGCATGCTAACTAGGTACATATAGAAATACATGTAGGAGGGGTCATCTGTTACATTATAGTTCCTATTTGTGATAAATATTTGGATGTTTTGATAATTGCATTTGTTACTATCTTTGATTATAGTCAGTAATGGGAATCTTTGCGCAGAAAGTACTAGGTGTGGAGAAATAGAGGGGATCATTAGTACTTTCCGTTTATAGAACAAAGAGTAGTTTTACACAGTCAATTTTATTCAAATTGAAAAGTTGTTATGATAGTGGTATTGGTGTAAATTAATTTATGTATTTTCATAACTAGGAACTTCATAATGTATTATGTGCTTCCCTCAAAAATATATTATGTTCTTAAGTAATTGAGTAAATTGTCGTAGAATTAGATCAAAGTCTTCTTTAAGACAGAAACTATATGCATAGATATGTTCTACAGGTGTAAGGAAGGGTAATAGTCCTCATTAGTCATTGACACCACCCCCTCCCTATACCACTGAACAAGAGGATAGCTATTGTATGGGATCCCATTCGAACGGGATGATACTAGGTAAGCATCAGATTTGACTTACCTCTTATCAGATCTGACACCCGTAGTTATTAGGTCATACCTGTGGGGTATTAGGTGATACCAACCAATACAAATCGAGCAGCGATGGCGAAGGTAGGGGTGTGGTCTTTGCGGGACAACGACATTGGAGGCTGGGGCTTTCAGACGCTCTCCTCTATTACCCCTCTCTCCTTGGACAATAGCGAAGATGCTGGCTCTAGGTCGTAGGGCCATCCCACCTCGGTGAGCTTGAGCTCCTCACTAGCCCACAGGACCATGACGACTCCTTCAAATCGAGCCTCATGTGTCCGTATGATTGTCGCTAGCCTTGTCGATTCTTGTGTCATCATAGTATCTCTCCTCCCCAAGCTCAACTAGATTTATGCCCATGGTGGAGAGAGTTCGAGCTCTAGCTCTGGCTCCATCACAATCGCCACAGAGTGGAGGAGGTGATCAAGTAGAAAGGACGTCGGTAACTCTTCTCTATCGCCAGATGGTTGCCATCGATCTAGAGAGGTTATGCTTCGGCTTCATCGCATCCGCCAGGCTAAGTCAATGAGGTGGTGGTAGAGCTCAAGCTCAAACATAGAGGAGGTGGTACTGATCCTCCGGCGTCGATGATTTAGGGGATACCGAACAGAGATGAGGGACAAGATCCCATAACCTTGCATTCCCTCTAAATAAAAAGTAGTACGTAACTCCTAAGTGCCTACTTTGGAGCTGCAATTTTTTTTCTTGTGTTTAAAAGAAAATAGTTAAATATTGGTTACCAAAAATATTAGAAAAAGTTAACCGAGCTATTTGGGTAGAAACTCCATCATGGGTCATTACATGCTGCGGTTGGCAGCTAAAGCCTGTGGTGCTAATTAATGTTGACGCCTACATCGACAAAGCGCATATCTATATAACTCCAGAGCACATGTCTTCATACAGTTTGTCATTGCCATCAATCATCAAGTCCACCAAGCCAAGCTCTTGCTCAAGGGAAATGGGCTTCTGATATGGATGTAGACATTACCGGAGTCGTTGAATTCACATATAGCATGATAATGAAGATTCAAGAAAGATAAGGAAGAAATCAAATCTGGTGGCATTGGGGGTGGTCCAATGGGAGCTCTAGAGGAAGTCAATCTCGAGCAAAACATGTGCATACTAGCGGCAGGACATAGTTGGGTGTGCCTATGTAGGCGGTGGTTGGCGAGGTCAAAGTTCAAGGGCTTAAGGACTAGAGGCCGACACACAAGCCCAATATACATAAAAAAATAAGGTTATGGTGACAATGGTTAACCCTTTTATACCTAACATGTATGCATGTGTGTTTCGCCATTACAAGCCTTGTTTGCCCACGAAGAAACGATGAAAATGGTCAGAAAAATACCATTTTGCTGACCTTTTTTTTTCCTAAAAAAGGAAATAAAAATGGTAGAACCATAAAAAAAATGATATTAGAACTACTAAAATAAAAAATGGAGTATCGGAATATAGCCTCAAAAACAATATCACAATGTGAAGCAAGTCACGGTCATGTTTACACTATAAATTCACATAATATTCAACAATTAGTTGGAGATAATATGGTAGAGGAGGTTTTAGTTCGATATAAGGAGCACTAAAGATCATAATTTGGAGGGTCAAGTCTTACATATCTGCTCTATGACAATCAGTGCAAGAATGTAGAGGCTTTTTTAATTAATGGTTGTTAATTTGGTGAAAGATGATACATTCTTTCTCTTTTTTACTGATCATGGATGTGGTAACTCCATGTTTCCAATAGCTAGGGATGAACATAGTCATCACACTAGCAAAAATAAGGGATAAAGAAAATCTTAAGTCAACATAACTATCAAAAGTATCATGCCTATTAGATTAGTGTCTTGGGGAAAATAATCTATGTTAAATTTATTGTGCAATAGTTTCTTTTCAAAAGAATGAACAAAGACGATGACAAGAGATCCGATGCCATGGAAATTTAAGGATCGCCATTAGTTCTCCCGTTGCAAAACCTTCAAGAAGGGAATCAAGCTTGATTGCTAATATTGTATGGACCAACCAATTATGGTCATACTCTTGTGGCTTAACACCAATACACTCCTTCAATAAGGATTCGATAATGTTGAAATTTTAGGATAGAGCTTGTGAATTATATTGGAGATTTAACGTGAAGAATAGTTCTATGATAATCATGCCACCAAGATTCCATGTAACAATGCATTATTAGGTTAAGGAAAGCTGGCCAACAGCAAAAGTCATTGGACAAATGACATGTTGCAAATTAGACTAGAAAACTCGGCCAACTATATCCGCGTTCGAGGCATTGGCTCAGAATCCACATCGAACCTTGGATGTTCCAACTATTGGTGATGTTGAACTAAACAAGCACTATTGGCCCACCATCTACCCAGATTCAAAAGAAGTATCACGAGCTAGCTTTTTGTCGATAACCAAACACTTGACTTTAGGTGACGCTCCATCTCTGTAGAGTCGGATGTACCTAGTCGGATCCATTTCAATGGATCCCTTCTCGCACATCTAGAACGTGGGGACGTAAAGGTTGATTTTGTCTGCCTTGATGACATCATTGATGATAATGAGATCACGGTTTGATTAATCTCTAGTTTCTTACTACTATAGGTATTGTTGGTTTCTCATTAGTTATGAGTTTTTTCATGGGAAAATGGGCATGCATGAGTTTTCATACATAATCGATGGCATGCCTAATTCCTTTACACGAGTTTTATCATGAGTTGAATCCTTGTAATTGTAATGTATTTGCATTCAACATTGTCTGGTCTAATCATATGTTTGTTGGTTGTCAACCATTAAATCTACAAGCCTAAACGACCTTTACATGCATATGGATCAAGCTTAATTAGTGTATTGATTCCCAACCCTTTTTAGAAGCTGGTAACGGAAGTTGCCTCATGACTTACCATTTCAGGAACCGATCCCATGTATGACCTGGAAGTGGGTCATGTGGGTTTATCACACCATTATACATGGGTTCCGTACTGGGAATCAAGTGGTTGAGGAATTGACCTAAGCCCCGAGAAAGTATAATGCCGCATTAGATGGAGTTACGGATTAAGCAAACTTGCATGTTCAATTCATCCTCTTGTCATAGCTATAAAAAAAATATACAGTGGCAATGGTAGGTTACGGATTTGCATAACCCTAATAGAGTTTTAATTATAAAAGGTAACCTTGAAGGTTAGGTTCTTTCTATTTTGTGTCACATCCATGGTTATCAACGATTTTGACTTAAGTTGTCCACAAGTATATTGTCTAAACTCATATCCACTAAAATCTTGGTATTCCTTCAAAAAAAATTATATCCTTCCATGTAATATTTTTCTATAGTGATCCCAGTACATGTGCCAAGGCCACTAAAATAACTACTCCTTTCGCATGAACAAGTTATTTATGCTTCTCACATGAATAATATATCTTGGAAAGATATGAAATTATATGCATTGGATTGATTTAACCTAGATGTGGAAAGTTAGCTATTGAAAAACCTATATGAAATAAGTATAAACTCAAATAGCGCGTTGGCTTCTAACATTTGAAATGGATTGACTAAGGTGCATATGTTTCATTATTCAGATACAAGTATATCCTAATTGCCATATGGTATCCCCACACAAATAGCTGGGCGCATTACAAGAAAAGGTTCCATTTTTTAAAGCAAGCTTGTCTCTTTGTTTTTTTTCTTTTCAGTATTCCCATGACAAACAAGTATCGCATGCTACACATCATTTCATCATGTGCATTTGTTTACTTGGCTTTGACTTTTCAATTATCTCAAATCTCTTTTGATAGATGTTGCTTAGTGTTGTCCATGGACAAGATCATCTCGTGTTTTTTTTTGGTTTTTTAAGTCGATGTTCTAGACCATGAAGTCTTCCTTACAATATATGAATTGTGATTTCGTAATACCTTTTGTTGCAGTTCTACTATCATCAGAAATACAAAAAACAGTTACGGTCCAGGTCAGACGTTAAACTATTTTTGAAAACAACCCTAGTCAACGGGACAGATATGTTCAAAGGACAAAAGCTACAGAAGAAGGTAGGTGGCCAACTATTTTGTGCTAATACCTATTATATATGTAGTCTAATTTAGCACAATATTTGATGTTTGGGATTTGCTGGAACAAAAGTGTGAAAACTAAAAGTAAGTTGTAATCTCAAATTGTCACTTTTTTATAATACAGTAAGGTATATGAAAAAAAATCAATCTAGGTCATTTTTTATATGATTGTATACGTGCTGTACTAAAATTTTTTTGCAGAAACAAAATCTTGATATATCTTATAATTTTATTTGCAGAGGACAATGGATTCCTATGGCGAACGTAGTGGTATGAATTTTAAACATACAATTTTAGAAGCTTGTTACAAAATAAATAACATGATCTAGGCTGTGATTTGGTTTTGTATAATGTGATTTAGAATATTTTACCTTACTCTTTATTAGTTGCATAGTTGTATTTGAATTGATTCTGTTCAACGTGCAAGGTACTGAAGCTAGTGTTTTCCTTTCACCCATTATTTTGAAATCAGGAGGAAGTAAATCCAACAAGGGAGAAAAGAAGAATACCAGTTCTAAGAAAAGCAAGAAGGCCTTGAGTAATGGAGATTACCCTGTGATGCCGAAGAAGCTGACTCTGCCTCATGGTTTTGTGTAATTTCGATTCAAACTGCATATGCCAAAAGCTGGGAGAGGGAACAACGAATAAGCCTATTACTTGGCTAGCTAAACTATTTTCCATGGTACCCTTAAGAATAAGTGCACTCTGCATCAAACCGTTGATGATGCTTCTCAGTTATCAGTTGTTTTTTCGTTGATGTTTGCTTGTAACTCGAGTACTGTACCGTTAATCTGCATGTGCTAGCTATATGGTTGGATTCAAATTTGATATTGGCTGATAGCAATTATGTTGGATGATATTTAGTACATCAGAGGCCATTGCCAGGATATTGGTTGGGTTGGGGGGAGGGGGACTTTTTTATTTACACACTGTTTTAGTTAGCTAATCATATGCCATATGCATTTACAAGAATAATTCTTTTTTATTTACCATAACTTCAGTTATTCATGTATTATTTTCTACATGCACCCTTGGTTACTAATATTTAGGTGAATTAGATGGCTTTTAAGTGGTATTCTTGACATGGAGTCTTTTTCTAGCTAGTCCTTGCTAATTTGTGGTCCATATTTTTCTCTCTTAATAGATGATAATTTTAAACCCTTTAGAGTGAATATGGTAACTAGTTCTGAATGTAGGTCCTCTTTGTGTTGTTTTAGGCTTTTAAGTCAGTATTTTGGTTTATATGATTTATAAGCCAATAGATTTAAAAGTCTAAGTTTAATAGTAGAGTAATACATATATCTCACATAAGCAAAAAAAAAAAAGTTTCTCCAACCTAGTTTTTGGCTTAATAATGTAAGAGTGACTTATGGCATTAAAAAAAGCCAAACAAAAACGCTACTTGTTTGTTTACGTTTAGACTTTTCAGCTTATAAGTTGGTTTATAAGCCTAAACAAAGAGGGTCATAGCGTACTACTACATTTGTTTTATTTAGTAGAATTAATTGCCCAATGGGCCACATTTGATTACCACCATTATTGTAGCTTGGACTAGGGGCATGACACTATTTTTCACTTTTGACTATAAATTTTTGCAAAGTGTTTCACCTTGGACCCATGCATTCCTCCTCTCTCTCTCTCTCTCTCTCTCTCTCTCTCTCTCTCTCTCTCTCTCTCTCTCTCTCTCTCTCTCTCTCTCTCTCTCTCTCTCTCTCTCTCTGAGCGCTCAACTCTCCATTGAGCACTGAGCAGGCCCTTACCTTTGCCTCATTGAAAGCAGCAACGATCAGCACCTATGGAGTGCAGCAGTAAGATTATTTACCTCCTGCAATATGCCATTCCTCGTAGCGCTAATGGTTCGAAAGATCAAGATCATTGGCATGGCTTTTTCAGTGGTACAGTGAGCTGAGAGAGAACTAGAGAAGAGAGAGAGGGTAATTAAAGAGAGCCTGAGGAAGAGCTGGTCTAGAGAGGAAGAACTAGTCCAAAGTGAAAAGTGTTGCTTACCCCTGGTCCATGAAACATTGGTAAACAAATGTGATCTAATGTGTAATTTACTTTTTTTTAATATATAACACAATCGACTTTTAAATTCACTTAACTATCTGTCCTTCTAGTAATATTAATGCGAAGAGGTAAACATACTAGTTAGACAGATAGTTAAGAGAGAGGTGAAACAACACGTGTCAACAAACTATTGAAAGCCAACTCCACCTATCAGCTGACAAAATTTCTGCCATCTTAAGATAGCTAGATGTCTAAAGCGCTTTTCATAATAGATCTATGGATACTCGTTATTCAATAAATATTATATTGTTAGTAAAAGTTTGAGATAAAATAAAGTAAACTGTGTCACACATTAAAAAATTGAGGTATTATGTTTTCAAGATTATATATTGGCAGTTGCATGCGCAGTGATGTTGACGAATGCAGGGAAATTTAAAGCTGATCTTTCATGGTGATCTGAATTATTACAAGCTTCTGTGGTTCATCAAAATAAAATCTCCATTACCTTACCTAAACATGCAGATATATGTGAAACTAAGTTGGCCGTACGTAACAGTGGATGAGAAAGGAAACAAAAGTAACAAAAAAGTAGACACAACACATCAATTAACACAACCAGCCAAGAGCAACCGAATCAATCAATAATCGTGTCACGTTCACGAGAAGCACAGTGCTTTTGCCCTTCCTTCTCGCGCTCATGGATGCAGCGCCGAGTAAGTCCTGTACTTGTCCTCCTCCGCCGCCGCCGTGTCCTGCTCGCTGCCGGCGCCGGCGGCGGAGTGCTTGTTGTGGCCACACGGCACGTAGGTGTTGCAGGGGCACGCGGAGGTCTTGGTCCGGTGGAAGAAGGCGGCGCACTCGTCGTGCGACCGCTGGTTGGGCGCGTACGGGATGCAGTTGCGGTCGACGTTGAGCTTCCCCTCCTTGATCAGGTCCCAGCAGCAGGAGCCGAGCGACGTGAAGTAGTTGTTGGAGAGCGTGAGGTTCCTGAGGCGGCCCGACCACGAGAAGGCGAGCTCGCACAGCGCGTTGGGCACCTCGCCGTAGAGGAGGTTGTCCGCCAGGTTGAGCTGCTCCACCTTGCGCAGGCACGCGAACGACGCCGGGATCGGGCCGGTGAGCTGGTTGGTGCCGGCGTCGATGACGGTGGCCTTGGCGAGCAGGCCGAGCTCGTAGGGGAGGCAGCCGCTGAGCTTGTTGTTGAGGAACAGCACCTCGAAGAGCGTGTTGGCCATGCGCGCGATCGACTTGGGGATCTCCCCCGTGAAGTTGTTGTTGGCGAGGGAGAGGTAGTTCACCGGCGAGTCGCCGATGTTGTCGGGCAGGCTGCCGGAGAACTGGTTGTTGTTGACGAAGATGGCCTGCACCTGCGGGAACGAGCAGAAGACGCCGCCGGGGAGCTCGCCGTAGAAGCTGTTGAAGCGGATGTCGACGAAGGTGGCGTTCTTCAGCTTGAGCACGTCCGTCGGGAACGTGGCGGGCGACAGCTTGTTGTTGCTCAGGTCGAGCTCGTAGAAGTACTGCAGCCGGCTGAGGTCCGGCACGGCGCCGCCGAAGTTGTTGCTGTTGGCGTGGAACAGCGCCAGGTCCGGGAGGGCGTCCACGAACTCCTTCAGCGACGACGCCTGCAGGTTGTAGCCGTTGAAGTCGACGGAGGCGATGGTCCGGTCGGTGATGTTGGGCGGCCGCTCGCAGAAGAACCCCTTGTAGGTGCTGCACAGGTCGGCGCCGCTCCAGGAGGAGATGATGTTCTGCGGGTCGCACGTCACCGTCCTCCTGAACTTCTGGATCACCTTGTACGCCTTGTACAGCCGCTCGTTCTCGAAGTCGCACGGCCGCAGATCGCCGCCGCCGCCGCTGGAGCCACCACTGGAGCCACCACCACCACCACCACCACTTCCTCCTATGCCGATGCTGATGCCCCCGCCGTTGCCGTTGCCGAGGTTGATGTCGAGGTCCCGCCGGCTGTGCCGGCCGTTAGCACGCGCCCCGGGCGCAATGCATGCCCCCAGCAAGCAGAAGAGAGTGAGGCACAGCGCGGCAGACAACGAGCCTGCCATCTCCGATCACGGGCACGGCACACTAGCTACTGCAGAAGCAACGTGTTTGGGCTTTTGTGCCTACGAGAGCTAGCCGGTTCGGCGCCGCGTCGCTCTCCCTCTCGTCGCGCGCGCGACTGGTCGATCGAGTGAGCGCGCGCGAGCGGCTTCGGCCTTTGGTCCTGAGGGCGCGCAGGCGCCTGTAGTATATAAACACGGGGGGCGCGAAGGCGGCAATATCGGCGTGCATGGGAGGCTGTTGGGTTATTAGCTAGCCGTCAATTTGCGTGTTCCACTTTACCCAGGAAGGTTCGATCGATCATCATCCATCAGGTCGCTGTGCAAGTCTCCTTCACAGATTCACTTTGAGCATTTACTCCCCAGGGACACTCCATTATTCCATTCACTCACACTGTGACAGAGTGAATGAGTGATGAATATGGCTATTGTTTCAGAAGATGGGGCCTTGTCTCGTTGCTCGTTGGATCATACTACGTGAGCATATCGGTACCTAGTCGTGGACTCCACCAAATAATTGCAGAGCTCACGTGTGAGTATTTACATCATACGTACTAGCAACATCTTTATCTCTAAATACAAGGGATTATATTCATATAGTCATATAGATAAAATCTTTTATTTTTTTGGATGGGGAAAGTAACATGTACGTGCAGAGATGCAGGTGCTCATCACAAAGGGTAAAAAAAATATGAATATTAGAGAATGACCTAATATCAAGTAATTAGAAGGGGTGGGCTTTGAATCCAGGTCGTCTAGCCCACCACCTTATAAAGCTAGCCGTTAGACCCCTATACGTTTCTGCACGGAACGGATGTGATTTTACTTTCATTTTTATCGCATGTGGTTTGGCCATGCATCTACGTCGGAAGTCCGAACTGACCGAAGGGAACTGCCAGAATTCTGTCCTTGATTAATAAATACGAGCACTGAACTTATGATTAGACGATTAATTAACAGCGAACAGAACATGAGAGCTCTTAATTCGTAGTAGTACGATCGAATATGATAACAAGTACAATTTTTAATTTCGTGGCGCTCGATCGGCGCACCTGAATATATAGCTTTCCAAGCTCGTTGGTTCGTAGTAGTACGACTGAATTCATCCGTTGATGGAAGCTTCAGGCTTAAATTTGCCCTATCGATAAGCTATTTTAGCACATGACCATTTACTCGCTTTGATATTAACTTTTTTGACCAACCACATGAGCGTTCACTGCCGCTAATTCCTTGCACTGTTTCACCGCTTCTCCTGATTTCTCGACTTTGCAACAGAAAGGTACCTGTACGTAATCGTGAACTGGTAGTGGTACCCTTTCTCGCCGTGGAAATGGAATGTGCTTGCTTGGCAAATGGCAATGTCCAACCATCGGGCCCTTTTAGCACTCCACCGATTAGTTCAGCGAGCCATCCAGCTTACAGCCCGTGATCGATTTGACGGGCCTACCTAATCCAGGATTACGCTTCCTTTTCGCAGCCGAGCTGACAAGTCAGTTACTAGTAGCATTTGACAGTTCAACCATGTCGTCTGCTCACTGTCTTCTTGAGTGTCTGCCAATAAAATATTTTATTTCAAGAGAAAAAAATATTGTTACTATGCAATGGTATCGGATTGCATTATTATGCATGCAGTGGCCTAACTACGATGATGGACCACGTGATGGCGCGCAAGATGTTACATCCATAATTGTACGTATGCGCCAATGTCGTGCCAGAAAAATACAAGCTCCCTGGCTATCTTACCGGGAATGTCGTAAGCAAAGGGGACAGACAATGTCGTCGCGATTAGGCAATTCGGGTGCCGAATGCGTTATCCTATGGCCGGCACCATTGAAAATACGTATGCATGAGGATAGGAAGAGAAAACGACATCCGTTCTACTAGCAGCTATGCTTGCCGCGCCATTCCTCCTAATCACCTAATGTACTTAGTACTACCACTTAATTAGTTCAGGTTTCAGGGGGTCCAATGATTTAATTAACTCTGTTCTGCTAAACAAGGCTATGCATCATCAACGTTTCACATTAACTTCAATCGGGCACACGTGAAACGTTGTTAGCGAAACTCCCACCGGTGAAGTCGGCTCAGCTAGCTACGTGCATAAGCGCGGAGGTTAGAGACCTAGAGCGGTGGTTACGACGTACGGTGGTTGAGGAGGCCCTTTCGCGCTTTACCTCCGCGGCCTAGTTGTCGCGCCCTTTGGTTTCTTTCTTCCCCTGCTCGGAAGACACTACTACGTAGTACGTATACGGTATACTCGTACTATTTTTTTTTCTTCGACTACAGTTAGCGCATCCATATTCCGTCCGCGTATAGCAATCCGTAGTCGTCGTCGTCCTCTCGATCGGCGTTAGCTGCGAACCAAACCGATCGGTTGATCGAGTGAGTCTCCGCGTCCGGCCAAACCGACGCTTCCGGCGGGCCGCGCAAAAGAACAAAAAGGAAAAAAAGGCGCTCGTGCTCGAATCGAGCGCGCGGGTGGAGCAGCGACCGAGCGATCGATCGGTCACGGGCTCTGCCACAACTAACCGCAGCCACGGCCGCAGTCGCTGGTGGGGTTGCCTCTTGCTCGGGATTGGGGGTTGTATATATGCACCGCGCCGTGCCGCCGTGCACGTACACGTACATACGCGCGGTGCCCGTACCGCGCCCAAACAGCAGCGAAGCATGTGCACCGTCCTCGCGCAAGGGGGGAGGTGGGGTGGGGGGAGATTGAGAGGCGCCGTGCGCGGCAGGGCGCTGTCGCTGTGAGCCTTGAGTACGCCGTCGCGGCGATTGTGTTTTTGCTGCTGGCTACTGCTATTGTCTCGGAGAGTGTGGGTGTGTCGCTGTACGGTAAGATTAGGCTATACTCCTAGTTGTACTTGTAACCGTGGTACTCCTAGTACTTTCTCCATCCAAAAAATAAAACGAATTTAGAACCGGAGATATGTCTAAATTCATAGTACTAAAATACTAAAATACCACGTTCAGTACTAGATTGGTTTCTTACGAAACGGAACGGAAGGAGTACGGCTATAAGTATTGTTTATTTAGACACAGATATTAAAAAAATAGATAGAAATAATGAAAGTTGGTGTGTATACTTTGTGAATATAAAGGCCGGTTTAAATAAAATCCATTATCTAAAAAAATAATGAAACTAAGATTATGATTGATCAAGAAAAATATAGGAATATCAAAAAAAAAGAGAAAAGAATTAAGTGAAGAAATTAAATAGAAAATTATTGTGATTGATTGAGATTGGGAGGTAAATAAAAAATAGTTTTATTTTAAGACGGGTGTAGTACTAAATAGCGGCTGGCCGTAATAGTGATAGCGCGATGGTGTTGCGCTATTAAAATAGCGAAGAGAATATTACGGGGGCTATGTGCAAAAATATCATCCATTATTTGGTATATGTTATAAAATAAATATTTTTTTACTTGGCTATGTTATAACAAAATATAAATTAAACACTAATCTACAATTTATAATTTTAACGAGTAAAATAGTCTGACAAAAAGTGAATATACACAATTTACATATTTTAGTTTTTTTTATGATTTTTCTATTGAAATATAAGCATCCATAATATCACCCGCTATCTGCTACGCATAGGAATTTGCCGCCCCGCTATCCGCTTTTTAGGGTGTGGCCTGGTTTAGTTTCTAATTTTTTCTTCAAACTTTCAACTTTTTCATTACATCAAAACTTTTATACACACACAAACTTCTAACTTTTTCGTTACATTGTTCCAACTTCAACCAAACTTCTAATTTTGACGTGAACTAAACACACCCTTAGTAGTAGCTTGCTCATAGAACTTCGGCACAGAGCCTGAGAGCCACCCTCCTCGCTATTTTGTTCTATATTTTTCTTTGTTCTTTATGTGCATGCAACGACCAAGGTGAGTGAGATGAAGTTGCACCAGCTAAGCTAGCCTAACCATAAACCATGGTACCGATCGATCACATGTTGCTACAAGCTTTTTGCTTAGGTCATGGGAAGGAAGTACAGCACACTTGAATGCACAGCATGGGGCCGAACCAGGGCTCTACCTATATGTATTCCGTATTCGACCCGCAATGCCCGTGCCTCTCGGAAAGCCATCCAACATCAGTACAGCACAGCACAATTTTAGTACCCCGTACCATAATAAATCCACCAATCATAAGACCATATGCATATGTCTGGAACAGGATTTTACAAACATATAGTGTTGATCACGTCGCAACACATATGACATAACCGATAAATTATATTTTAGCTACGTAGCATTGCCCCCTCTTATTGGACATGGGATCGGAATAACTTAGAAGAACAAGCTCCAGCACTGCTGGATGCACTAACAACTTAATCAGAGGAGCGTAGCAGGCTAGCAGCCAAGGAGCTGTTTTATGCCTTCTTCCCAAAGATGAGTCTACTCAGCAAGCTCCCACCCTGCTTCTTTTTCTTCCTCTTCTTCATATCAACAGAAACAGTGGTTAGTGGCGACTTGGGGATCACGGGACGAGGAGCGATTTGTGTTGAACCATTGTTATCAACTTTATGGCCAGTGCCAACATCTTGCTCCTGTAGAAGGTTCTTTTCAGTTGTAACACGTTCATCGTTCTCTTTCTTGCATGCTGCTTCTATGGATGGGGGAGAACTAAAATTCTGATTTGCAACTAACAGGTGCAAGTTATCAGACTTTCTTTTGTCTACAGCATCCGCATTTGCTGGACATTTTAGCGCCTGCAGTTTCTTGCTTAGGCTTGTAATTGTTTCTTGGCACTCTGCAAGTTTATCAGCTGCTGCGGATATTGCCGAATTCTGCAAGAGTTGCAACCATTATGGTTCTCATCATACCAACATGAAAATGACTAGAAAATATACTTCACAATTATTGCGCTTATTCAAAGCTCACTAATGGATAGCCCAGTGTCATGCAAGTGTACAACTATATTTATTCAGTAGTAGGCCTTTAATCAACACTTGCTACATAAACTGCACCTTGAACATTTGATGGAATATGTATAAAATAGAAAAATAAAATGTCTAAGGAATCATGCGATAGTGATTGAGTGATAGCTATGGGCATTGTGGTGCTCAGCTAAACAAGGAATGTTGTGAAGTTCAACTTGTGAATTGAAACATCAGATTTCAGATGTGTATTAATTTACAAACAAAAAAACATAAGAACGTTTAGAAGGACATAAGATATTACTGTTAGTTGTTTCCCCTCTTCTTCTGGTAACAATTGCATGCTCCCATCAGCCGTAGCACTGTATCATAAAATAGATGTTACATATTTATGTTGGATGATTCTCAATAATAGTGTACAGTGCTGAAAATAGTTACATGATTGATGGTTCTCAGAAATAGTTACCTTTCTTCTTTATAATGTACTGACTGCTTTTCTTGACAATTATCACCATGATCTTGCCTAACAGCCAGCAGTTCCTTATCAAGCTTACAAGTGACAAACTGAACCTGAGAATGATTTTCTACGGGGTCACCAGGGATCAGAAACGGTTCTTTCTGTACCTCTTGTTGAACTCCTACAGCCACTTTCGGATTTGTGCTTTGCATTTGTTGTTTTTCCTGCATGTTTAATGATCTAAGAGATACATTTCCATCGAAATCATTTGTGATGCAATCCACAGTTTCGAGAGCATCGACACAATAAATATATTGGTTCACTGTCCACTCGAGGGTTAAGCAAACTTCTTCGATGAACTTTCGAAGATTGGCCTTTCCATCCAGTACATCACTACATACACAGATAAGGTGCTCAAGATGACAAGTGAGTTCAGATTTCTCATGCAAAAATGATTGAGAACTCAGAACATTGTTTCCAGAAGATCTTTCGATCATGCAACTCACTCTTTCAACAAGAGTAGCCACCATGCTGTCTATTACTGCCTGGTCATATGTCACATTTGCAGCATCATTTCCTTTGTCTGAAATCTCAGTCCTCAATGCAGATCTTATTTCATCAATAATGATATCGACGCTTATTTTAAGGACTTGATGCTTCTTTATGATAAGTTCCAAAACATCTTGAATCCACTCGGGATACTTGTCAGATAGACCATCTTCAAGGATTCGATCTTGGCAAACTGTTTCTGTCAGGGCAGTTTTGGACTCTGTATCAGAAGCATCTGGCACGCATTGATGTGGCGCACTTGAAGGCCTTGAAATCATTTCAAGCTTCTCTATCTCCGATATATCTACAAGCAACTGCATGTCAGATCCTGCTATTCTTCTTCCCCTACTGTGAGATGCATGTTGCTTCCCAACTCTAAAATGCTCTCCTTTGGAAACTAAAGAACTATTTGCCCATGGTTCAGGACGGTTGTCGTCATCCAGTTCATGGCTACCAACCAACTCCTTGAGCTGCCCTTGCACTACTGACAGCTTCGATGCTTCATCTGCATACTGCAACTGCACAAACTGGAGGTCATTCTCCTTCTTGGCCAACAATTGCCTGAGGTGTCTGTTTTCATCATCCAATTCCTGCATCTTGACAAGGTAACCTTCAGAAACAGGATGCCTTGGAGTCACCACCTGCGGTGATGACTGTGCAGATGAACGTGGCTTTCTCCTTCTGTTCTCAACACAATTACTGCCCCGTCGCTCAACCTCATCTTTCATTTTCGCCAAAGCCGCAGGCCCAGGAAGACGCTTCTGGACCATGGTCCGCAGCCTCTGGCATTCAGTTTCCAATGCAGTAATCTTCTTGGTGCTTTCCTGCTGATGCTTCTGGGCAGCATCAATTGATTTGAGGTCAAACTCCCGCTCTTTGTTCCGAATCTCGAGTTCCTTCTGAAGGATGCGCACCTCATACTGAAGAGAGCCACACTGTTTGTGTGTGAATTCAAGTCTGGCTGTGGCATCAATTAACTTTTGGTTCAGGAGTGCTGCAGACTCACTCAGCTCAGTGATCACCTTATCCTTGGAGTTGACAATATTGCGAAGATTGTAGTTTTCAGTGGTGACCTTTGCAAACCGCTTATTTGCATCTTCTAACTTCTGCTGCAGACTCCACACTTTCTTCTGCTCCAAAGAGATCTTATCAGCTGCTTCGATGATAAGGCGTTCTTTCTCTTCTCTAACACGGAGTAGCTGCTCTGTGCAGGATCTTAAGGAATCCTCCATTTCAGTCATCCCTCATGAATATAGTTTCACGTGTGGCGCGTTATCATGCACCTTCTGAAACACCATGAAAACCAAATCTTATTAGACTCTGATGTTAGGTAGTACTACTATAGTAAGTGGTTCGTTGAAAGTTGAAACACAGTAACAGTCATAAATAAATTATTCCTGAAATTGGGGAGAAGTTTGGGGAAAGTTGGTGGTTTGGAAAAAAAAGTTTAGAGTTTATGTGTGTAGAAAAGTTTTGGATGTGATGTGATGTGATGGAAAGTTGGAAGTTTGGGGGAAGTTTGGTGTGAACTAATAAACAGGGCCATAAAATTTATGGAATCTTTTAACGGAAAACTGAACAGAGTAACAAAAAAAAACTATGTCAAAATTAACAGATGCTCCATTCTACAACAATTAACTACAAACAAATAGCAAACCACCGGTTGGTACAATTGAGTTATGCAGCATATCAAACTAATCCAAGTGAAGAATAGAAATAATTTAATAAAATTAACAGTTACGACTAACAACTTACTAAAAATATATCTCAATAACCAATATCCCATGCCATCCAAACTACATAGGACCAAGTGAGCAAGTCCAGATCCCTATACTAGCGGCAGAAGCGGTCTAGTGAAAACACTGTAGCATATGGGTACCCAATTGGCTGCTCACATGGAAGTGACTCGGCGTAGACGCGACGACGCGAGCCTCACCGTCGACCCATCCAGAAGCATCCTGCCGCCAATCTACTACAGGCCGGACGCCCCGGCGAGAGGGGGACGTGCACCGGCCAGGTGCCTGTACGCGCCCGCGCGGGCGCCGCAGCCAGGAGGACCGCATCCTCCTCCCTCCGCCAACGAGACTCATAGCGGCGGGGGGCGTCGGCATAACCGCGTCGCGCGGGAGGCGGCGCCTCGGAGCCCATCGCCGTCGACGCCGTGGCCTGCGCAAAGTTCGCTCTCTGCTTCACGATTGTGGTATATGGAAGACCGGATCTTTCTCGGCCGTGTTCGCCGTTCGGGCTCGATCCTTTTCCCAGTTTCGGGGAAGAGACCAGAATAAGGGGCCTGGGCCAAGAACAAATTAAGCTGGGCCTAGTTTTCTCAAAGCAAATTAAGATGGGTCCAGTTTTGGACGCTCAGACCATACACTTGTCATCAAGATATAAAATCGTCCATAAACCGCGAAACCAGATATGACGTATCCCCAACTTATAAAACCAGTGCAAATTAGGTTTCTCGACGGTTTTGATTCCGGTTTTATCTGATGTGGTAGCTGACTCAGTGAGGGACCCACGTGAGCCCCACGCGTCAGCCTCTTCTTCTCCTCCCCTCTCCACTTCTCTTCCTCTCTCCTCTCTTTTTCACGGGCACCGACGAGGGAGCAGCTGTACGGGCGGCAACCGGTGGGCGCAGGCGGCGGGGGAGCAACTGCACGGGTGATGACGTCGACTGCAAAGGCAGCGGCGGCGACGGCGGCTGCCTCGCGTTTGTAATCCTCATGGCGGCAGCCATGTCTCCGATGAGGCCGCGCTCCTCCAACGCGAGTTCGACGCCGGTGGCGGGGAAGAAGGAGAAGGCGATGACGAGAGGTGGTGCTCACAATCTGCTGCACCCCGATGCGAAAACACTGCGGCGGGTCACGGAACACCGCCACCACCAACGCTCAACTCCATCTAGGCCATCGCTGGCGACGAAACCCCCCTAGCCCCTCCACCAGTGGCTCTTGCTTCTGCTTCGGCCGACCGGCATGACCGGTGAATTAGAAGAGAAGAGAAGAGAAGAGTGAGAGTGAGAGTGAGAGTGAGAGAGAGAGGGAGAGAGAAAGGAGGGGAGAGAGATGGCGTGGCATCCTGACATGTGAGGCTCGCATGGGTCCCACGCTGACTCAGCTGCCACGTAGGACAAAACCTGGGTCAAAACCACCAAAGCACCAATTGTAACCGGTTTTGATTAGTTATAAGATGCTGGATATCTGGTTTTGCGGTTGGGTATTTGTGTGTTAGCGCAATGGTGCTGGACTAGTCTGGCTTCGGGTTTGGAGAGCACAGGAGACAACATAGCCTCAGCAGCTCAGCCTTTGTGTCAAGAGAGAGAGATACATGCAAAGGCCTGATCCAGAAAGAGCTTAACATAGCAGTATCTGGAAAAGCTGAGTTTTCCTCACAATGTAGGTAAAAATTTTGGGTGACTAAAGATTTTGAAATAAACTGCTACAAGCTTCACCAAACAGAACCAAGGAGTATGAAATGTACTGGTCTACTTGGGGGCATGATAGAAAAAAACTATTGCTGGATATGAACAAATTATTAGCTTGACACATGAGGTCATCAGACCAAACAACAAACACCATTCGTCCACTCCGAACATGATCAGGGTTTTCTTTTATTAAAAAAAATCTTAAGTGCAAAGTAAGGGACTAAAGAGTGTGATACTGAATTAATGAGGAAGTACTAGTAGCATTGTCATCTGAAAGACCCGCATAATTGCGTAAAACTAAACGAGTGACGAACTGACGATCGACCAACTAGTTTTGAGGTGCAAAGATGAACATCAAAGCGCATCAGGCCATCGGCCAGTCATGTGAATTCCATATACCGACATCGAAACTGCTAGTACTCGTAAAGAGTGATCTCATTCTGAAATTCTCAAGGACGGACTCCAAACAAGTTAATTCTTCCGGCACATGCATGCGTGTTGTTTTAAAAAAAAAAAATAGAACGCGGCGATCAAACATGCATGTGGCGCCACCAGACTTTCTCCTCTGCGAGACCAGTCTTAAAACATGTTCTGTTTGAATCAGCAAAGCCTCATGAACCAAGATCCAACTGATTACTCAAAGAAACCAAGCAGTTTGCGTCACTCAAAAGAAGAGCATGCAAGAGCACTCACCTTCTCAGTTCAAGGACAAAGCCATGACCTGCCCCCTTGCTTGCTCGTCGTTGCCACACCGCGCGCGCCGCAGCGAAGGCCAGCGGCTGGCTTCTCTCCCGGCAATCGCACGTACGGTTAATTAGCTCGCAACGCTCGCTAACGAGCCATGGCACTCTATATTCTTGTGTCCATTTGGATGGTTGGTACGAGGAGTAGAGAGTGTGCAATCTGGGCGGCTGCTGTCTGTTGCTGTTGGTCGCCTTTACTTCTAGCAGCCTAGCCTAGCCCTGGGCACAGCTGCCATTGATCGTCAACGCTACAGAGCGGAGGTGCCTTTCGCGAGGCGACGTGGTGGTCGGCTCGGAGTCCGATTGATCGAAATCGAAGCAGAGAAGTGAAGAGCGTGTACTGTACGGCTGTGTTTTTCCTTTTAAAGTTAAAAGTTTGGGTTGAAATTGGTACGATGTGACTGAAAAGTTGTGTGTATGATAAATTGATGTGATAGAAAAAGTTGAAAGTTTGGATCTAAACACAGCCTACGTAGTACGTACTCCCTCCGTCCTATAAAAACACAACCTAGTACTGGATATAACACATGCTAGTACTACTATACCTCTGTCCAAATTCATTGTTTTAGAATATGTCATATTCAATACTACTCTCTCCGTTTCACAATGTAAGTCATTCTAACATTTTTTACATTCATATTGACATCAATATAAATGTGGGAAATGTTAGAAAATATATATCTAGATTCATTAATATTAATATGAATATGAAAAATGTTAGAATGACTTACATTGTGAAACGGAGGAAGTATATTTGTTTTTTTTAACTGATGGAGGACTACTCTCCGTAGGTAGCAAGCAAAACGGTTGGGCTGTTGCTGCCACTGCCAACCGGGACAGACAAGTCCCGCGGCCGCGAATGTGGGGGGAGGCCGCTGCTGTTGCCGGGGGGGCCTCGCAGCTCGTTCGCCGCGCGCGATATTCTCACCTCCGTGCGCCACGCTCGATCGATCGATCGCTTTCGCGAGATGCTGATCTGTCGACTTGCGCGCTGGTACGTACGTGCCGGTAGGGAGTACGTGGGGCACGAATGCTGCGGCCTATCTGCTGAATCGTAATTGCCGTTTTGAAGTCTTGGATAGGAACCAGGAAAGGAACGCGCCTAAGCTACGTGAGTGTTGGGTAGTACGTAGAGAGAGGATGGAGGATGGGGATGGATGTGCCACCGCAGCTAAGAACCTTCCCCCATTGTCTTGCGATAAATTTCCGTAAATTAATAAATTTTCGTTATGCCACAAGATTTGCATCAAAATGCCATTGTTTTTCTATCTCTCAATACATCGTGTAGGCCCAAGTCGATCCTTAATTAGGGAATGCTGCAATAGTCAAACACTTGTCCAACACCGTTAATCATTGGACCAGATTACGTACACTCGTGGGTGCATTTTCTTTCCCTACTTGTATCCACTGGCGAGTGGTGTGATTGCTCTAGATATGGTGAACTATCGATGAGTTTGAGAGTGGTTCACTGTGCCCTTCATCTGACATCTGCGCTTTTACGCTTTTCTGTATAAAAATCCACATTTATTTCTACGATCTTACGGAGTACCGAAAAGAATTACAAAAAATCTCTTCTGAGTAAGTCTCTTGGATGTCTCTCTCAAACAGACCTGGTTTAGTTCCTAAATTTTTTTTCCCAAAAAATTACATCGAATATTTAGATATATACATAAAGCATTAAATATAGATAAAAATAACTAATTACACCTTTTGCATGAAAATCACGAAGCAAATCTTTTGTGTCTAATTAGTACATGGTTAGCCATAAGTGCTATAGTAACCCATATGTACTAATGACGGATTAATTAAGCTTAATAAACTCGTCCCGCGGTTTCTAGGCGAGTTATTAAATTAGCTTTTTTTCATTCGTGTCTAAAAACCCCTTCCGACATCCGGTCAAACGTCCGATGTGACACCCAAAAATTTTCTTTTCGCGAACTAAGCACACCCTAATTCTAACCAAAGCAATCGGCAACATCAATACTTTTGTCGTGGTTTACGGTAAATATGTCCAAAATCAATTGTGACAAGTAGGTGCTATAAATGCCAACCACCTCTGTGTACATTTGACATCTTAAGGGCAAGTGCTATGGTAGATGTGACTACTACCTCCAAATTTATCTATTTTATTCACTCATGAAGCAAGAGGCAACCCATACAATGTATCACCTCTAGTTCACAAATACCAATATATTTAATACTCTCATATCCTTTTTAAAATTTGTGTGGAGTTTGCTTCTTGATTTAGGGGTGGCTCATCATCTCTTTCTTCACTTTTCTCCTCCACCTCATCACTCAATCCAATGTGGCACTTGTAGGGGCAACATATGAAGCATTATAGTACTTGCCCTAACTCTTTACCTTTTCCTATTCCTTTCATTTGAAAATCCTATGAACCGAATAAGCATGGAAGGGGCGGGGCGAAGGAATCCGGGGCATCATGACTAGCAGATGAAGGGGGTTATCGGCATGTCGATGAGATGTGGCTTGATACAGGCTGACGATGGAGCGATCAATCCATCGAGATCGTGGTCATGCGGATAGGATGGGTTGGATCCGGTTCAATTTTTCTACGGAGGGAAATACCCCTTGCTAGGATAAGGATCCTCTACCATAATGTTACTATCATTACAGTCACTGGTACGCGGGTCCCAACCTCTAATTGCCCCCATACATCAGTGCTTGTAATGGTAGAGGATGTGAACCCTCCTTGCTAAGAGCAAGTTTAATAGTATAGCCAACCACTAGCTCTAATTTATCTATAGCCAATCTAGTAGCTCATTCATACAATAGTTACATACTATACTATTAATATCTGGTCCCACCTGTCATACACACATTGCGTCTTGGAGCCCGTGCTACAGCTGGCTACAAATCTGTAGCCCGCTGCTCTTCTCTCACCTTATTTATCTCCTTAAAATATGTTTGCAGCTGGCTTATAGCCTGCTATTGTACCTGCTCTAAGAGCACCCGCAATGGTAAAGTAAGGTGCTATCTATAAAACATGTACATCTCATCAATAGACTAGATTAATAATAAACCACTTTAATAGTATGTCTACATGGGTATCTATAGCTCTCTAATCCATTGCCTCGTTTTTCTCTATAGACTATCTCCAGGTTAGTAGATAGCTTTGCTCTCTCTCTTCATTTAATCTCTTCCAAGTAGAAAAATATGTTGACATGTATCTCTTGTAGAGAGCCTATAAATAACCATTGTGGGTACCCTAATATGGTTTACCCTTTTAATCCGGGCCATTCATGTGCTTTAATTTCATTGTGTTCTTTTTTTTATGAGTCTTAAACTTTAATGACAAAAGAGCATGTCTTTGGACCAAAGTAGGGATGGCAATTTGCCCAAGGATTTGGGTATCCGTGAATACCTGGCCTAATGAGGATGGGCGTAGGTGTAACTTTTGTCCAAGACCCGAAGACGTGGTAGGCAACAACTGGGTTTCATTGCTAGTATTTGGACATTTTGTGGACTTTTGGATGACCAACAGCAGAATTGATGCTTTTGATTATAATGTGGTGGTGATGGTAAGTGTTATTCATCCTGAATAACTAATTTACTTTAAAATCTCTCGCACTCCATCTGAAAAAAAATGGAAGTACTGTTTCACCTATCCTATCCTGTTTTACATGCCTTCCAGCTGAAATACTTAAATACTTTTAAATATAGAAGTGAAATATGGGGAACCTATATATTTCTTAGACCCAAATGCAAGAAAAATATAAATTTCAGTAGTGAATGCTTAAATTATGCATCCTATTACCTCACAGAAATCAAATTGTCACCTAAAATTGTATGAAGCTAAAATTCCTAATTTCAAAAGGTCAGCATGGATGGCTCTTAACCATGTAAACAGTCAAGGTTGTGGAAGCAAGCAATGTGATCTGTTCAGCAGCAGTTGTTTTACGCTTAGCATAAATATTTTCACTGTTTTACATAGTTGGGAACTTCGAACTTGGGATAAGCCAGTAAATATGCATTAGAAGATTCACAGCCGTCTCATTTCAAGTTCTGGGACACATGAAGACTATCCTTGTGCTAAGACATGAATTTTCAAGTTGCGCTTGGGATGGTCATAGCTGTAGTAGGAATGATCTGGTATGGGCACGCATCTTCAAGACTTGGACGCAAAGAGCGCCAATCTTCTTTTTTTTTTTGAAATAACACCGGGGGAAAGAGATTCCCCACCTGAATTATATTGAGTAAAAAGGAAGGTTATATCACATAGAGATTACATAATTAGAGAGAACGAATAGAGGAAGAGAGAAGATTTTTCCAATCGGTAACTACCGATCTGTCTTCCCTGCGAAGACGCTCAGCCCACAGAGTAGCATCTTCAATACATTTGACAACTAACCTAGTCTGAGAATTGGGAAGACCCCGGAACACAACATCATGTCTATGATTCCAAAGCCCCTAAAAACAAAGCAGGAAGAAAATTCTGAAGTGTTTGGCAGGCAAATGACAGGGGACGGCAAGGTCAGCAAGATCATGTACATCCGAAACGACAGATATGCGTAAGGCTCGCCAAAAGTCTTGGGCAAATTGACAATGAAGGAAGAGATGACTCGCCGTCTCAATACCTCGGTTGCAGACAATACACCCAGCTGTCTGAATAATGTTCTTCTTAAGTAAGTTAGCTTTGGTAGGAAGACGATCCTTAGCAATAAGCCAAGCGAAGAATTGAATGCGGGGGGGGGGGGGGGGGGGCTTGGTTGTCCCAAATGAAGCGCCAGTTCTTGCACAGGGGTAGGGCCCTTTGAGATGACAAGCAAGGCATCTGATGAGAAAGATATCAAGCAAGGCACTCTATCATCAGTTCATCACAGTTAAAGCTTGATGAGAAAAAAATGATGTAGAAACTTACGGATACTGTAGTACTATACCCCTGTTCTTCATCAGTTCTTGATGTACTTGGTTAGTGCAGAAAGACGTCCTCCCCTATTGATGTCAAGCAGGTTTAGTTCTTGTACATATGACACTGGCAACGGAAGATCAAAGTAAATTTTGCAGTATCCAAGAGGCAGAACAGTAACCAACATGGTTTTCTTGTTCACAGTGCCGGTCACCTGTAGTATATTGCTCAATAGCAACAACAAAAATAGCATGTTCAAAATATGGATCGGTCAGCCTCAGAAGGGAAAGTTAAATTCTTCAATCTTCGGAAAATGTGAGAATAATATAGTAAATAATTATAGTTTTTTGGTTGCGAGGAAAACTGTTAAACCTTATTTCGGTTGACGAGAAATTTACTTGTAATTTTCCACCCAAGCTTAATAATAAAGTTTATAATTGAACAATGTGAGAATAATATAGACTATAGTAATAAGGGCATCTACAATATAGTTTAAAAGTGGTCCATAAGCAATACAATATTTGTTTCAGCCACCTAACAATATTGTGGAACTAGTTCATAACAAAGAAATAACAAAAGCTACCCATAAACATATGGGCTGTCCATAGAGAATAAAATATATTATTTGTCTCTACCTCTTCACTCATCCTAAGATGGTGTTTGGGAAGGAGGGACTAAACTTTAGCCCCTCTCACAAAAGTATAAGTCCTTATGGGAGGGACTAAAATTTTTGTTAGTCCCTCTTTCCCAAACACCACATAATACTATTTGCTATCCATATATATTGTGGGTGTTACAATAGTTAAAGTTCATATAAGGGGGTCCCATCGGGGGGTGCTAATGGGCGGGTGATCGCTCCAGGCGATCACCCCCCCTCTCTATACTCTACTATTTTCCTTCCTGCTAGCTTTCTTCTCTTCCTACTACATCATAATTTTTTTTAAAAAAAATAAAAAAAAACAAAGTTGGAAAAATTTATATATAGAAAATACTATATATGAAAATATTTGAATTTAAATTCAAATTTGAAACGGATATGTAAACTTTTGACTTATAAAACTTTGGGTCTATAAACTAATATTTGAATTCAAATTCAAATTTGAATCAGATATAATTCAAATTCAAATTTGAAACGGGTATATAAACTTTTAACTTATAAACTTTAGTTCTATAAACTTTATATGTATAGAAATACTATATATAAAAAATATTTGAATTCAAATTTAAATTTGAATCGGATATATAAACTTTGACTTATAAACTTTTGGTCTCTAAACTTTAGATGTGTAAACTTGAGATGTATAAATTTATTAAAATAGGAAAGTAATGCGGTGCTAAAAAAGAAAACCAGGTGGAGAGGAGGGCCCGAATATGATCGCCTTGGGCGAGCTCGCTCAGTAGCATTTCCGGGTCCCATCTATATGGACTAATTTTGTTATATATATTGTTGTTGCCCTAATAAAATGGTTAGAAAAAAACACGTTCAATTCTCCCAAAAGGCCCGGCCCTTCGAGAACGTTGGCCCAACCCAACGAAGCGGTCAAGACGCAACACACGTCAGGCCTCGAGACCAATTTGCACAGAACCCGAAGCACTCCTCCCTACGAACGACGACGACCGAGTCGAACGGTCCAACCCCAACCCATCCACCGAGACAGGAATGCTCTCACGCAAGAGAAAAAACCACGGGCGAGCGGTAGGATACGTGGACCCGGTCTTGGTGCTCCCCGTGTAGACCAGGCGGCCACCCGCTCCCGTGGCGCACCAAACACCGGGTCCAGGCGAGCGGGGCGCGCGTAAACCCTAGCGTAGGCGCGTAGCTGGCATCTCCGTCCTCCTCCCTCCCACGGGTGGTGGGCTGATAAAAGCAACGCCTTCCCCCGTCGGCCTCGCCCACCGTTGAGAGAGTCTCGCCTCCGCCGCGTGCTCTCCGCCTACGGCCTCTTGTATCCCGCAACCAAAAACTACTCCCAAAAAAAAAAAATTTCTAGTATCACACCAAAAGAAAAAAGAGAAAAAAAATTTCCCCCAAAACTCCGCGAGATCTGCCCGTGCCGAGCTATATACCAATCCATCAGCTAGGGTTTAGAGCAGATTTTTTTTTTTGTTTCGCGGAAAAAAATTGAAAAAGAGAGAAGGGTGAGGGAGCGAGGTCGAGGGATCGGTGGGCGATGGCGGCGCAAATGGCGGCGGTGGCGGTGAACGGGGGCTCTCCGGGGGCTGTCACCGCGGCGGCGGCGGCGGGAGGGGTCGGCGTCGCCGTGGGCCTCGGGGGCGGCGGGGCGCAGTCGCTGTACGTGGGCGACCTGGAGGCGTCGGTCACGGACTCGCAGCTGTACGAGCTCTTCAGCCAGGCGGGGCAGGTGATGTCGGTGCGCGTCTGCAGGGACATCAGCTCGCGCCGCTCGCTCGGCTACGCCTACGTCAACTTCAACAACCCCGTGGATGGTATATCGCGATCTCCTCTCCTCATCGCCCCCCCTATGGCCCTATTCCATTTCTGCTGCGCGGACTGCACGGATTGATCGCTATTTTCACATTTCGGCTGCACGGATTGATTGGGGATTCTATATTGTTGAATTGTGGAACCATGTGTCAGGGACCCAATCTTTGATCCGGTGCTATCTGTTAACTGGTGAACATGGGTGGGTGTTGAGTTTTGTGTGTGATATCTAGGATTCTAGGTATATAGTGAAGCAATCGGTCGATGTTTACGTAGTTGACTCACATGAGGCCTTTACTATGGTGCATTGCTGTTTGCATTTAATGTGTCTGAATATTGCGGATTATGGCGCGCGCTAGCTATTCCTAGAAAGGAAATTTTATTGATTCTCCATAATGGTAGCTTAATAGCCCGCTAAATCATCGATGCGATGGTTGAACTCTGTAGTTTGTCCTTAATGAAAGTGGGATATTAGCTGCGTTCGCTGGGATGGCTGCCTAGCCAGCGAATAATCTCGTCGCCCGCAACATGTCCCAGTCTAGTTGACCGCCTCACTAGTAGGTGAACACTGGTTAATCGGGGAAAAATCATCGGCATGGTGTGGTTTTGTGGGGTTAATTCAAGTTGGTGTCCTCGTGTTGTTGCTTGGATTGATCCTTTCCCTACTTGTGGCTCTTCAAGTTTATCAACATGATTGTAGTTGATTATCCTTTTGAACATAAGAAGTAAAAGGTAATGCAACTCATTGGGTTGCCACCTTTTAAATTACAATATCCACTATAACATGTATGGATCAGAAATGAGGTTGTGGTCAACGAACTACTCTTTCTCCATGATCGAGGAGGAGGAAATTTTCTGGGTAGATTGATACTGATCATTTAAGTGATTTTCACTTGGCTGTATCTATCTCAACTGTAATTGCTCTACCACTTTTGTTGGTAAATAAGTAGCATGCAATCACGCATCAGTCCAAAAAAATCCCACCAACATTACGTCTAGCCAACCTTGGACACCCACCACACTATGTGGCTACCTTATACACCATGACGTACTTGTGTATGCATTGGACCTGTCTGTAGATAAGACATAATGTCTTACATTGAATTGATGGTCTGATTTGTGGATTTTTTTTAGGCTATAGGAGCATGAGTGTGCCGAACACTGAAATAATTTATGGCATGCTGATTTCTGGGAATTTATAGCATATATCTGTTGTGATGTCCTATATAGATGGCTGCTGGCTGTTATTGAACTATTGTTTAGATTAGTCATTATCTGTTGGATGGTTTCCATAGGAATGTAGAACTGTCCTCAATAGAGACTTAAATTTGGGCAATCAGAATATCCATCTTAGAGAGTTGCACTAGGTGCTTTGCATCCTTCATGTGAATGTTGCACATGGCATTTAATGGACAAATTTGGAATGCTTTTCAATAATGCAATTGTTCTGGCTTAAATATGTCCTCCACCATGTTGTTATCATTGTCTTTTGCAGTTATGCTACTGGTCTAATTCCCTTAATGATTTTAATGTAAATTGGGCTTCTGAACTGATAAGCTGTTCCATTTGACAGCTGCAAGAGCACTGGAGCTGCTCAACTTTGCTCCTCTGAATGGCAAACCCATTCGGGTAATGTACTCAAACCGTGACCCAAGCAGTCGCAGAAGTGGATCTGCTAACATTTTCATCAAGGTACTAGGTCATTTACTCATTTGTTAGTGTGTATTGTCACGCTAAAACAATCATCTTTTATTGGTTATCTCTAATGCAAACAATTCAACTGCCTTTTTCAGAACCTTGACAAAGCAATAGACCACAAAACTCTCCATGATACCTTTTCTGCATTTGGTAACATTCTCTCCTGTAAGGTTGCCACAGATGAAATGGGCCAATCCAAAGGCTTTGGTTTTGTTCAGTATGACAAGGGAGAGGCTGCCCAATCTGCAATAAAAAGTCTAAATGGGATGCTGATCAATGATAAGCCTGTTTATGTTGGACCTTTTCTCCGCAAGCAAGAGAGAGAGAATTCTGTTGACAAGACAAAGTTTAACAATGTTTTTGTGAAAAATTTGTCTGAGTCCACCACAAAGGAGGATCTAGTCAAAATTTTTGGTGCCTATGGGAACATCACAAGTGCTGTTATCATGGTTGGCATGGATGGTAAATCAAGGTGCTTTGGTTTCATCAATTTTAAGAGCCCAGATGATGCTGCTCGTGCTGTTGAGGAACTTAATGGAAAGAAAATTAATGACAAAGAATGGTATGTTGGAAGAGCTCAGAAGAAGTCAGAAAGAGAGATTGAATTGAAGAGAAGATTTGAGCAAAGCATGAAAGATGCTGCTGACAAATATCAAGGACTGAACTTATACATGAAGAATTTGGATGATAGCATTGGGGATGACCAGCTTTGTGAATTGTTCTCTAACTATGGCAAAATTACTTCATGCAAGGTGATTCATGTCATCCACCTTTTTTCCTTCACTTTTGTTTCTTACTGATATATGATTATAACTAACTGGATTTGTTTGACAGATAATGCGTGATGCAAATGGTGTTAGCAAAGGGTCTGGATTTGTTGCATTTTCAACTCGTGAGGAAGCATCTCAAGCTGTAAGTTTACTTCCTGAATATTGGATTAGCTATTGTATATCACTGTGGCTTACATAGTTCCTTTTATACAGTTAACTGAAATGAATGGCAAAATGATATCTGGAAAGCCATTGTATGTCGCATTTGCACAACGTAAAGAAGACAGGAAGGCGATGTTGCAGGTATAGTGTAGTCCTTTAAGCAGCTGAGTGTTTGTAATTGAATAATTCAATTCATGACAACATGCATGCCCAAACTGCTATTCCTAGTACTATTTATGGATATGAAAATAAGATATGCCACATGAATTACTGTTCTGTTTTGCACCATCATGAACTCAATGTTTACAAGAGCAACAGTAATTTGTTTATGGTTATTGATAATCTAGGCAATTAAGTTATGATTATTGATATTTACTCCCTCCGTTTCACAATGTAAGTCATTCTAGCATTTCCCACATTCATATTGATGTTAATGAATCTAGATAGATATATATGTCTACATTCATTAACATCAATATGAATGTGGGAAATATTAGAATGACTTACATTGTGAAACGGAGGAAGTAGGTCATTGGGTTTGGCGAAGAACTTTTAAGCATCAGTTCAGAACTCATTATTCTGTATAATAGTTGAGGGAAATACTGATATGCAGGGATGACTCACAATGCATGCTCCATAGATCTGTAGTTGAATCCTCAGAAATGTATCTTCAATTGCCTGCAGTCCACAACATATATTTAAGTTGTACGGCTGTACCATAGTTCTTACTGCTGTGTTTTGACAAAGTTTCTTAATAAATGCTTTATAATAACTCATTCTTCTTGTTGAGTTGTTTCTGATCATTTCATAATGAAAAAGAAATGCTGACGGTAGCATGTTCCATGTTATTTAGGCACAATTTTCTCAGGTGCGCCCTGTACCGATGACACCTTCCATGGCTCCACGTCTTCCCATGTACCCTCCTATGGCTCCTCTTGGGCAGCAACTCTTCTACGGACAAGCTCCACCTGCTATCATGCCCCCACAGGTACTGCTCGATATCAATGCATTCATTTTCCCCGTCTAGCTTTAACTGTAAGAGAGAATCAATGTGTTTTTGTTTGTTTATAAAACAGACTAGCACTGCCCTCTGCAGTCAAGTTGTTGAAATTCTGCATTATTATATATCTAATGGTTGGTTGGTCATTGCAATTGGTACATCAACTTCATGAGTGAAGTGATATCATTGATCAATTCCTACAATACTTTTATGCATTTAGTTTTCAATATTGGTTTTGTTGATGCTGGGCATATATCAGGAGTTTGAGTATGGTAATCAATGCCATGCAAGTTTTTGGGACACAATAGGTTAGTCATTCATCAACACCATTGTACTAGGCGTTATGTCTCTGCTGCAAGCACTCATTTTGCATATATCTTGTTCATTTGGCATCTACTTTGAAATTCTACTGTCTGATCATTATCTCATAGAAATGATTCAAATTTTCCATCTAATGTGTTGTATTTTCTGGACAATTTAGTAGATCAATTTCTTACCAATTTTCTTCCATGTAGCCTGGATTTGGTTTCCAGCAACAGCTTGTTCCAGGCATGAGGCCTGGGGGTGCCCATATGCCAAATTACTTTGTTCCAGTTGTCCAACAAGGTCAACAGGGTCCACGTCCAGGTATCCGGCGTTCTGGTGCTGGTTCTGCCCAGGGACAGCAATCTGCTCAGCCATTTCAGCAACAGGTTTGCTAATATACATCCTTATAACATTGTACCTTCTACTGTTGTGCCAAGTTTTTTATGATTTACGGTGACTGATAGCGAAGTAGTGCCATGAGGGAAAGGTAAAAAGAACCCCCAGTGGGTAGTGAAATAGAACATGAAACCGTGCTGAGCTCCCAAGCAGTGGTAGGGGAGGGGAAGTTTGTCGGTGGATATATTTATTCAAACAGCGAGCTATTCGTTTTGTAGTACTTAGAAAACCCCCATATCCACTTTTTCATGTATGAATTCTACCATTTATCCTTTCCTCTCGAATTTTGGATCATTGGATGGGTTGTCCACTTATCCTTGTCATGTGGACCAATTGAATGAACAGTGACGACACACGTCTTACCATGGTTCTTTTAACAGATGCTTCCAAGAGGACGTGTGTACCGTTACCCACCTGCGCATAACATGCCTGATGTTCCACCAATGCCGGGGGTTGCTGGTGGTATGATTCAATCGTATGATATGGGAGGCTTCCCAGTACGAGATGCTGGTTTGTCACCTGCTCCAATTGGAACGCTGACTTCTGCCCTTGCAAATGCTAATCCAGAACAGCAAAGAACGGTATGTCCAAATTATATCCCTCTACTAGTTGTGTGCTTAATTTATTATTCGTTTTGTTACCATAATCTATGTTCTGCATCTGCATCTGCTCAAGTCTCCATACCAGTAAATTTACCAGTATATCTCATGTGAAGTTGAGAACAAAATAAAAGATCGAAGAGAGCTAGTAGGAAAATTGAAAACTTGATTCAAATGTGAATTGTCTGTACCAACCAACCCACTGGTTACCGGTTACTGTTTCACAGTCTGAGTCTGCGAAGTCCCAGCTCCCAATCAGCATTAGAAATCCTGTGTTTTGGCTTGGTTAAACATGTATCGTTCATCGAAATGCATTGTTGATTCTGCTTGCTAAACATGTACACCTCAGCTTTTCTGATATTTGTTTGTCTCTCTAGATACTTGGTGAAAGCCTGTATCCACTGGTTGAGCTTCTGGAACAGAACCATGCGGCCAAGGTCACCGGAATGCTTCTGGAGATGGATCAGACGGAGGTCCTGCATCTGCTCGAGTCTCCAGAGGCTCTGAAGTCCAAGGTTGCTGAGGCGATGGATGTCCTCCGCAATGTGGCCCAGCAGCACAATGCGAACACCCCGACCAGTCAACTTGCTGCGCTGTCACTGGGCGACGCCATTATCTCCTAATTTACAGTCGTAGCTATCTTTTTAGCTTGCAGTTGTGTGTGATCTTGCATGAGGTTATCGGCAACATGGCACTTTTTCCCTCGTATGGTTTGACTTGAGTGGTTCGAGTTCCCGGGTTGGATGTTAGGCGTTATACTTCTCGGCCTGGTATCCTTGCCATTAAGGCCAGGTACTTGTTTCCAAGTTTGAGTATTATCCGGACCATCCGTCACATACCTCTTATGCTTGATCACAATTTTTGCTGTTAATGATTGGTGAGAGAAATGGTTGGATGTTAACGATTGCTGTTAATTTCGCCCTGTCAATGCTATATTTTTTGCTTGGTTCACCTGTTGTCACGTTGTGACCGGGAAGGGCCTGCTTCCTTGTCCCCGTTTCAAAAGTTAACCATCATCACAGTATCGACCGTGAGCAAATTTCGTTTAATCTGTTGCAGCTGATGCTCTGCCTCTTGGGCGACGGCGGCGCGCAGGGGAGGGGCATGGCCATGGTTGCCTAGGCTCTTCCTGGAGAGAGTGGAGGCAGTGAGGGCAATCGGTGGCCGTGAACGTGACGACGTTCATGAGGGTGATGGAGGGGTTCCTGAGTACGTTGGAGTTGACGCCCCGGAGAGCAGGGGAGGTTGTGGTGCCGGGGAGAGACGGTATCGTCGGACACGCTCATCGTCGTCATCTGGTGGCTGGGAAACTCGTCGCTGTCGACCTGTCGTCTAAGGGTGTCGTATAAGGGCGATGGGATTAAGATCTGCGGTAACTGTACCATGTCTTTATCACTAACATGTGAGCTCGATAATCTCTAGACCCATATGTCAATGACAAAAGCACGGTGCAGTCAATTACAAAGCATCTCATCCAGGACGATGGTGGGAGATCACTGGCCATACCAACAATTTCTTCCGCTGCACCTCTCGTCGTCACTACCACCACCGTCGTCGGGCCTGTTCACTTTGATGCTATTTTCAATCTTACCAAATTTTGATAAAGTTACTAAAAAAGTGGCTACATTTAGTTTGCTGCCAAATTTTGGTAACTATATAAGAAATCCTGCTTTTGATAATGCCAAATTTTGGTAATGTTTTTTTTTTCGCATCAAAGTGAACAGGCCCGTCCTCTCGTGGAATTGAAATTTCTGTAGTGTGCTTGGGAACGCAGGTAGTAGTAAAAATGGTCACTCTAGCTTCAGACAAAAATAATTTTAACTTTAACTATCGATAGTTTTTAACAATTAAATCATAATGTAAGATTTTCATGGCTATATTTAATTAAGCAAACACACTTGACATACTTTTAAGTATTGATTTATATTTCTGCAAATAACCGAACGGTTAAAGCTTGAAGACGAGTACCTAGTATTACTAACAAGTATTCGAAAATGACATAACTAGTTCTAAAAGAAAAACGAAGAAGAGAGCATAACTTAACTAGTCCACTTTAATCTATTCTGGCATTGCATTGCATCTGTCTCGAGCTGTTCAGATTTGAGTAGGACTGTAAAAGCCCCGTCGGTTGGCCCAATAAACTAAAGCAAAAGATAAAATTTAAATTTTTGAACTTGTTTTTAAATTTTTTTTAATATAATTTCATTTTAGCGTTAGCTTTTAAGTCGTTACAAACAAATATATAAAACTTTTGCTTATAAATTATTTTTTATTTCTTAATATACTGTTTTGGTTTATTTCTTAATATATTAATGCTGTGTTCAGGAGAAGAGGTTCATATTATTGCATGATTAATTAAGTATTAACTTTTTTTAAAAAAAATGAATTAATTTGATTTTTTAAAATAACTTTTATATAGAAAGTTTTTATAAATCAAAGCATGCGCACGGAAAACGAGAGATGTGGGTTGAGAAAATAAGAGGAAGAACACAACCTAGCTCAGCGGCGGAGGCCTTGGCTCCCCCCTGTCAGTGAGAGGAGGCCATGAAACCGCGACCGACTGACCGGTCGCGATTCCCGCCAGGCCGCGCCGCCCTCGTCGTTGTCAGTTTGTCACTGCCGCGCGCGTGCCTTCCGCCACACGGCGCGGCGCCCTCGTCACAAGCCCGAGCGGTGGTGCGGCTGCTAACTTAGCTGGACTGCAGCACGAGGCCTTGCAGAAGGAGGATATAGCCACGACGACAACCACAAATATGAAGCCTAGCCACTGCTAGTAGTCCCACTCCCCACCCTGCAGACAACCCACCATGGGTGACCACGGCGAGGTCACCGCCACGGTCTCTCGCCTCCCTCAGCTCCGTAATTTCTCGCGCCCTGCTCCAAATCCTGACGACCAGTATGCATCTCTGAACTGATTTCTGCTGGTTTCAGGTCGTCGACGTCGTCGTCTGTGAGATGGAAAATCAGGCCGTGTCGGAGATGCATGTCGTTATGGTGAGATAAATAAGCACCGATTTTTACGCTTTGGTTTCTCTCGTCCGGTTAATCTACTCCAAACTTTAAGATTGCTGCTAATACCGCGTGCTATGCCTATGATTTGCAGGATTTGGAAGGCACGACCAAGAGGATACCGCCGATGCAGACGCCGAGGGCGCGGCTGCTGCGCAGCTGCGGCGAGTCCATCCTGGCCATGGCGCGCGGGGCGTACCGGCGCGTGGAGGCGATGCGGTGCCCGGTGGGGTGCGTGGCCAGGGGCGCCTCCCGCGCGGCGGCCCCGGTGCTGAGCCCGCTGCGGCTGAGGTGCCTCTCGGCGCTCGCCTTCGCGGACAGGCAGCTCCTCGTCGTCCAGGACGTCGCCGCGGTGCTCTTCCCGGCCGCCGAGCGCGTCCTCGGCAGGGGCGCCGACGACCTCGTCCTCCTCGTCGAGTCCCTGCCCGCCAGGCTCGACGGCGCGATCGACGCCCTCGAGGCCCTCCTCGCCGGCGCCGCGGGGCTGTTCGTTCTCCCCAAGCGTTGCCGCCGCTACCGAGCCCACGAGGACGATGACGACGGCGTCGGCGGCGCCGTCTTTAGGGACATCTGGTGCGACGAGAAGGAAGCCGCGTCGTTGCACCGATCAGCAATGGAGGAAGAGGCGCGGAGGCATTCCGACGACGTGGCTCGGAAGGAACTCGAGAGCTTGGAGGTCGTCACGGCGGACGACGGCGGCGGCGGTGGCAACACCGTGCATGGCGACAAGGCTCCCGTCGACGGCGAAGGAGAGGCGGCGACTCCGGCGAAACGCGGCGACGCATCAGGTGGCCAAGAATGCGGCGTGGAGGATGTACAGCGGGTGGAGACGCCAGCTGCAGAGATCACAGATGCCATGAAGGACAGCACGGAGATCGTGAAGGATGAGGACCAGGAGAGAGGAGGCAGCGAGAGGGAAGAAGAGGAGACCTTCGCCATGGCCCGCACGGCGGAGAGCAGGGAGGAAGCATTGCTGGGTCTCTTCGATATAGCATGGCAGCAGAAGCTAGCGTAGGGTAACCAAAGGGCAAAGGTGTAACCATTGGACACTGTATAGTATAGTGTTGTGAAGTTGTAGACTTGTAGTAATCCTTGCACTGCTAGTGTCATATTGTGAACTGTCGCATACCGGATTGTAGAGAATAAAACCTGGGTACATCACAACGCATGAGCTGTTCACTGCTTCAAAAATGTAAATATCAGCAGATAGAAGCATGCAAACATTTCAAACCTCCTGAGAATGCTTTTTATTCGAAATTTGACTTCAGGATTTTGGGGGCAAGCAAAGGCTACCAGACTAATCCCGGGCAAATACTCTGCATGGTATTGCAATGTGCAGCTACGCACACATCTAGATTGATTATTTGGGTGTAGCATCGAGGGACTAGGAAACCATTAGTTCATGACTTCAGGTCATATGATCAATGTTGGATTTTACTAGTTCACTGGTTTTCACAACAACAAGAAGTCTGGTGCCGCTTTGAAGGTCCATGCATTTGGATTTTGCAGTGCGCCAGCAAATGGAAAACAGGCATGCTCACTCAATAAACACCTGGATCCTATCTCCCATAGCATCCTCAAAATCAAGCAGTATCTGACCGTTCTGGGGGTTTTCTGAATCAATAGGTGCATTTCGAAGCCTTTCCATGATATTAGCTCCAGCCAAACCTGCAAAACCCAGGGAATGATCACATGAAGATGGAGGTGGTACTTATGGTGCATGCTGCTCTTAAGAAAAGAAGTACAGACCTGGAATAACTTTTGTCATGCCTTCTAAGAATCCAGCCTGTTGTAGATAATGGGGATAAACAAAAGCAACCTTTCAATCAGTTTGGCAAAAACTAGATTATAGAAAATATACGGGAACACAAGGACCAAGAGGCTATTGCAGTAATAATAACAAAATGCGTATAACCAACATCAATGATATAGGTCAGTTCGATGTAAATTAAATGCTTCAATGCAACTACCAAGTAGATGTGGAGGGGGTTCTTACAGGTATTCTAGCATCGATTTTCTGAACTCCATCTCTTCCTGTAATCCTTAACCGAAGTGTCCGAGACCACATCCCTGCTGAAGGGCCTCTGCCTCCAGTAGAACCAAGATCATATAGCTGAGGCAATATGTCAATAACAGGCTCTTGCGGTGTTTCAGTTCTTGATTTGGCATCTCCTGGACTGCTTGCTTCACTTGTATTATCATAGTAACCTATAATTTAGGAGTTCAAGGTTAGGAAAAAAAACATTCAACATAGATCCGACATAGAATAAAAGTAATCTAAAAGTAATCGTCCTCACCGCTCCTGTACGATGATGATTGGGCTGGTGTCACAACGTATCGTTTTTCTTCTTCATAGTAGCTGTTAAACCCCAGAGTATCTTTAATCTCCTCAAATGATGGCAGACTGCTGGGAGGAGGTATGCGACCACCTTTTATAGCAATAAGAGCATCCTGCATATCGGGGTTTCATGTACAGTTATAGTTGATGAGTACTACATAAATTTACATACAGACAGGTTCACATGACTATCTATTTACATGCACATGTGCACCTTTTTCCCCTAAAGGTACTTTATAAAATCCATGTAACTTAGAAGAAGTGAAAAATAGTATGCCAACCGAATCCTCACAGGGAACAAGGTACTGTAAAGATTACGCTTACAGATTTTTGGTAGACGAAAGGCAAAAGAGGCTAAAGCAAGATCTTACATGAAAATGGTAGAAGGAATGAGGCGCAATGATATCAGTCAAGACACCTTTTATTGAAATTTACGCCCTTAGTTGCAATTCTAAAGCAGGGTCATATTATGGAAGGTCTGGACAAAATTTTAGGTTGCAATAGTATCCTAAACTCGTACTAACATCATAGGTTGGAGTTTCCATACTGATTATGGGGCACCCGGCATGTTATACTAGTATTTCAGAATCCATAACTATTACTCACAGGACAAATGGTAAGCAATCTGAACCAGTTTTCAGTTGTAGCTTACAAAATCTGTGAGAAGGAAAAAAAAACATGCATTTAACATATACAAATCAACTAACCTCCATTGCACGCATTGATACCCCAATCAGAGATAATGGGTATGCTATGAGTTTATAACCAGTTTCTTCAAGTTCAGCAGGGCTCAAAATAGGAGTTTTACCACCACCTTCTAACATGTTAGCCTGCAGAAGATAGCACAGAATATGATGAGACAATTGTTTCATGGCCATCACAGACAACTTGGATAAGCAAGATAGCATGTAACAGATCTAACCATTTTTGGAACTCCAGGTGATACTGCACAAAATGCCTTCATCTCTTCTCTTGAAGCAAGGGCATCAATAAATAGAACATCTGCTCCAGCATCTGCAAAAGCGCGTACTCTCCATAATGCTTCATCAAGAGACAAAGCTTGACGAGAGTCTGTCCTTGCCACAATAACAATGTCAGAGCCACTCTCCTTCCTGGCATCTACAGCAGCTTTTATATGCATAATTGCTTCCTCCCTTGAGACAACTTTCCTTCCCTGTGTATGTCCGCATGCTTTTGGAGATACCTTCAGAATACTACAGATCATATCACTAAAACAAAACTAAACAAAAGGGAAAGATTGATCACAAAAATAAAAGGTCACTATTCATTTCAGAAGTCACAGGGATCCCACAGTCAAGTATGTATATGAAGGTGCCACTGGAAGTACCATCTTTGTACAATGAACACAACAGACTTCCCTAATCGTGGAGTTTCAAGATAACTAGAACAAACACAGTGTATGGAAGGACATCCGCCATGAACAACTCAATATCACTTGAAAAGCATACCTGGTCTTCAAGAATAATTCCAGCAAAACCAGCTTTAATAAATCCTTTTACTGTTCTCTTGACATTCATACAGTTTCCATAACCATTATCAGCATCACCAATCACTGGGATTGAGGCCGCTTCGGTGATCAGACACCCTTGATCTATCATTTCCCCATAGGAGATGAGACCCACATCAGGCAATCCAAGTCGCGCAGCAGATATTGAGAAACCTGAAAAGACATAATATAGTTGAAGCTTGAACACTGTTAAACCTCTTTATACATAGTCATGTGAAAGCTCCAGAAGCAAAATATAGTGTGGTTGCATTTTTTAGGTTCTGAATATATAGCCAAAGCGCATAATTTTAGTGGTTTTGACAAGTGTAATGCCACTTTAAATCTTTGATTAAAGTTCCCTCAGCAGAGACACGAGCAATTATCCAATACAGATCAACACAGAGTAAATCCTCACATCAATCAAAGTTCTCATCTTTGCGACATTCAAGGCATTACTAGCAGCTAGTATAACAATAGATTTGGGAGCCTAAGCAGTCAGACGTTATATCAGCTAAGGATCACAAACCGCACAATACACAGTCCCACAACCATGCCCATCGCCCCATCCCCTATGCCCATGAACTAGAATTACAATGAGCGCCAGAGGGAAGCCCCACGCCCAGAGGCAAAACAGCGAGCACGTACCGCTCGTGAAGCAGACCTTGAACCCCGCGCGCCCCACGAGGCGGGCGCTGAGCGCGTCGTAGCACGCGGGCGCCTGGTGGGCGCCGGGGGACTCCAGGACCCTCCGGAGCGCCTCCGCGGGCGACTCCCCGGCGTCGGCGGCGGCGCCGTAGGAGGAGCAGCGCGGGGAGACCACCCTCGCGGCGCGCGCCGAGGCGGGCGAGGGGCAGTGCCCCCGCAGGCGTAACCGTATCAACCGCCCAGCGCCGCCCCACGGAGAGGCGCGGCGGCGCGAGGAGGACGTGCACGCGGTGGAGGGGAGCGACGCGGGCGGCGGCGGCGGCGGCGGATGCTGCAGGAGAGCGGCGGCGTGGCACGCCATCTCTCTCGCTCTCCTCAGTCGCTTTGCTCCCCTGCGTGACAGCGTGAGCGTGAGTAGTAGTAGAGCCTCACTGCCGTTTTCATGGGCCCAGACCCGGGCGGCCCATTAATGAGTAGCATGTTGGGCCGTCTGCGGCGGGCTGAAATAAGGCCCACGGTGGGTTACCTGTTACGATTTTAATCGGAGTCTGATTACTCCGACTCGTGGAGTCCAGGACACAAATTGCGAAAAGCTACTCCACTGTCCATTACCCGGCCGCTACATATTTTCACCGGTTCTCTCCATCTGCGTGCCATATCCCAACACGAAACGGAGCGAAAACCAACGAAGCTCGAGACAGCGTCACCCCTGCACTGCCGACCTGATCGATCAAAGAGAGGCAGGGATCTCTCTCCACACAAAGACGACGAGACGACACAATGAAGATGCACAATTCGCTGGCCTGTTTTGGTCTCGCCGGCGACGACAAGACCGGGAAGCGTGTCAAGGTTAAGGCCAAGAAGCAATCCCCGGTGCCGGCGGCGGCGGCAAACGAGGAGAAAGAACGACACACGGCGAGCAAAAGAGGGAGAGCGACGAGCCGACGATGGTGCGCCTCCCATGAGAAGGGGCACGGCCAATTTCAACCCTAACGATTACATGTTAGGTGTGTTGACGTTGTATGGGGCCTATGCCGGTGCTATGTGCTAGTCTGGATCTCTGGGATGAAGCCACTCGATCGTCTGAAGGTCAGATAGCATAGATTACTGTTTGTTTGCTTGCTGATTTTTTTGCTGATAAACAAACTAAACAAACAGTAATCCACTTGAATCTGATTTTTTTGGAGGAATTTAAATTTGGTGATTAATTATGTACGTATGACATTTGGAGCATTTCTTTAGTTTGTTTGCTGTGCTGGATTACTGTTTTTCTACTCGTGGAGTTGTGGAGTCGCCAATGACATTGCTTCGGCTATTTGAATGGATTATCACCTAGACTTCCAACCATCCAATCAGATTAGTGCCATTCAACACAGTTCATGTTGAATCGAGCAAATGGAGGCAAGAAAATGGCAAAGGACGCATCACAATCCTTTGTCTGATTTACTAATTATGATTCATGCAATTGATCTCCTCCAAGCATCATAAAACATCTCATGCATGTCAAGGAGTCAAATTAAAAGGGCCTTTGAAAAAGACAACTTGATTGGATAATTAGCCTATCATGCATAGAACCGTGAAATTATTGTATCGATCAGTGTACATGTCCCAGATCGATCAGATCTGCTCCTTCTGAAACTTTCCCAAAACTAACAGCAAGGAGAGGCGGCAATTTACAACAAATCTTAATTACCCCCTAATACCTGCCATTACCAGCCTTCAGAAGGCACATGTTATACTACCAACGCACGTATACGTGTCTCATGCATGTACTGGTCAAGTGGTGTAGACTCTGATGATGAACTAATCCTAAACTTGCCGCTAATTAAGCTCAAGAATTTACTTCTTGCAACATCGCGGCCGCTGCGTAGCTAGATCATCCCATGCCGTTGAACGGCGAGCTCCAGTTGTCCGGGTACCCGTTCGCCGCCTTCGCGACGCTCACCGACGACGACGACGAGCCCTGCGAGAGCTCGTACGCGCTTCTCATGGCCGCGTACGGGTCGACGACGCCGTCGTACCCCACGACGAGCCTCCCGCTCTCGTCGCCACCGCCGTAGGCGCTGCTCTGCCCGCCGTGATCGGCGGCGGCCACCACGGCGCCCATCGGCATCATGAACGCGTTGCCGCCGCCGCCGCCGCCGTTGCCGTAGACGGCCGAGCTTGACGCCGGCTGCTGGAAGAAGTTGTGGGTGGCGGCGGCGCCGCCGCTCCCGAGGTGCAGGTGCTGGAGGTCCGTCGCGCAGTGCCCGGCCGCGATCACCGCGTCCTGCTCCGGCTTGCACCACCCGCTGGCCTGGCCGTACGACGGGTAGTGCACGGCGAGCGGCGCCGGCTGCTGGCCGCCGCCGCCGAACGCGATGGTCGGGCCGCACCCGTAGTAGTACCCACCCACACCGCCGTCGGCCAGGTGGGAGACGATCACGCCGCCGCCCGCGGCGGCGGCGGCGACCTCCGCCTCCTTGAGCCGCCGCGCCGCGCCGCCGACCGGCAGCGTGCTGCTGTCCAGGATGCTCTTGACGTCGTACCGGCTCATGTCGAAGTTGGTGACGGCGTTGAGCCCGCGGAACTTGATGGCGGCGATGTCGTACGCCTCGGCGGCCTCCTCCTCGGTGCCTGCACAGCACAGCACGGCACGTACGCCATGATTAGGGTTAGCCCACCGACGCGCGCGTGCATGTGTGTGTACTCGCCGCGCGCACTGCATGCAAGCTGTGACGTCTCGATGCAGTAGCTAGGGTTTTTCTAAAATGAGCTCTTGACCACATGCCCCGGTTTCCTCAGACAGCTCCGAGACACAAACTTGGAAAGGAACATTTGGGACATAATTAATGTGCTACTCCACTATTATTAATACCCATTGGGCAGGATAGAATAATGCACCCTCTCTCCGCTCTACGAGGCAGAGATTTCGAGAAAATGGATTACTAAATAATTAGGGCTTGATGATGACTCGGGGTTCTTGAAAGCACAGTGCCGTCCTAGTACCTCCAGTTCCAGTAAGTACTTTTATGGATATATTTCAATTAACAGAGGATCTTAACTAGCTTAATTAACAAATAGATTAGCTTCTGTGTGCTAGTTGGTATAATTGGCTTACTGAAGGTGCCTAGGTAGATATCCTTGTTGCCTGCAACTCGCCCTATCCTTGCCTGCCATCTCCCATGCTGATGATGCCTGTCAAACCGTCATTCTAGATAAATTCCAACATCTCAACATAAACATAGTAAATCATATATATTCAGCTCGAACAATAGGAGTATCATACATATATAATATAACTTTTACCCAACATGTAATTTGATGGTAGATTTAATTACCTAGTAACACCACGATATTTGGATGCACCACGAGAAAATCCACTGCTATTCCTGTGGTTGAATGACCATGCACGTAATTAATTAGTTGCTATGCAACAGAAGCGTGCTTTCGTGCTGTGCAATCTTCCAAACATGTGATGCTATAGTATAATCAGCATGCATCAAGCAATACCTTCTAAGATGTGCAATGTACTCCTGCCTGGTCATGTGTTTCATTTCCTCTAGCTCCTTTTCATAATTACTCATCTGCACAGAATTTTGATATTCAAACAAACCATGCACATGGAAATAGACAAATCTAAAAAGCAATTAACAGAATTGTATCATCTCTTTAAGTCTTTTTTTAAAAAGAAGAATATCTGTACTGGGAAATTTGTTGTTGTGGTCGTGCCCCAGTATTTTAGAGCTGCCAAATCATAAGCCCGAGCCGCCTTATCTTCTTTGTCATAACCGCCTACACAAATGTTCGTGAAGAAGATAAGTGAGAACTTCGAAGTATTAGCATAAGATTTACATTTTTTTTTACGAAATGGATATATATGCTATACATGATAGGTGAATATATTGCACAAGATTAGCTCTTACCCAAATAAACTGCATTTTCATGAGTGTGAAGTGTCATATCCCGGATGGAGAGGCGACAAAAATTCAGTATTCAGTCACAGAACAGATGGAAGAATGATTAATCATTGATCAGTTAATTTATCTTTAAGATTATAGAATAAGGGAGTAATTAACTACCATTACATATCTCTCACTATATATACATACCCTGTCTCCCCTTGCGACTTTGGCCTTCTCTCCTACAGCTATTATCCCACAGATGAGCTTCATATCTTCCTGTCCATCTATGCCTGAAAGACAGATTAACAACGTGATTATACGTATGAAGAACTTAAAAATTTTTATATAAACATGCATATATATTATTTTTTATCGACTAGAAGAAAATTGTAAAAATAATTAAAGTTGTGGACAACAAGAAAACTAATTAGAGAGCATCTGTTCATTGCAGATGATCATCACTGCACTTCAAACGCTAACGGTTCAGTACTCGAAGCGTCAAAAGAAGCACTTGCATTGGCAAAGCGGATCACCAAGAAATCATGGAAATTACATGTGCTCCACTTCTGTGTTGGTCAAATCTAGTACATTTTATGAATTGTATACTTCTAAATCACCTTGTATTACAAGCTAGTGTTACCTCTAGGCTAAGTGAGAAGAGCAAGTAGCACTGTGTAGCAGAGCAACAGCAAAGAAGCGACTACTAGGAGAATCGCATTATATATGCTCTCAGCAACTAATTAGATATTTAGATGAAACACATCCTAATATACTTCGATCCAAACATTTGCTTTGAGATCAATGAGCAATACACTAAAACATGAGAGAAAATCGATAAGCAATATAATACTTGAGCTGGAAGATGCAGAACAAGATCAGCAACAATAACACTAGCAAAAGTTGATGGAAATCGCTAACCTTGTTACACCTCGGTATATAGACGTCCTTTGCCCGAAGGTGTCGATGGATTTCCTCGGGACGGCGCCGTCCACGGCGCCGCCCGGCGAATCCACCCGCTTGTTCTCCGACGACGAGCTCTCGGCCGCGACGACGGCGCCGCCCCCTCCGGCGGCGGCCACCGACCCCGTGCTCATCGACAGCGCCAGGCCCTGCCCATGCGAGCTCGCCGTGCCCCCGGCGCCGCCGCCGCCGCAGCTCCCCACCAGCACGTCGGAGCACGCGTAGCTGCTCGCGCTGGCGTCGGTGCTCATGCCCTGATCAGCGTGCTGCGGCGGCGATGGCTGCTGCTGCGACTGGTTGCTCCGGAGCCACGTCTTGATCATGGACAGCTCTATGGTTCCGCCGCCGCATCCGCCGTTACTGTAACCACCGGCGCCGCCGACAGCGCTTCCGGAGTAGAGGTACCCGCCGGCGGCTTGGCCGTGCACGTCGGAGAATGAGTTGCCGTCGAGGAAGTTCTCCAGCTTCGGCGCCTCGCCGACGCCGTCGCCGGCCACCGTCCTCCTCCCGCCGCCGCTCGAGCCGACGAGCATCGAGAGGTCGGAGGAGCCGCCGCCGTAGTCCAAACCCCTCATCGCCCAATCTGCAAAGCACACGCCACACATATCAAATCCCTCATCACTGCGCTGTAGCTAGCTAGCTGCATGCTCATCAGATCAGCAACCTGGCTTCCTCACCTTGGGTTTCATGGGTGCCTCTGTTGAAAGCATCCATGACGCCATAGGGCGCGTCTTCGCCCGCCATGCCGATGTGGTGTGCGTCCGGCGTTGGCAGACCATAGAAGTCGCCTGAGCCGGAGATGTCGATGGCGGCGTCGCCGGCGGCAGACGGCGAGCCGTTCTGGTGATGCTGTGGGTTGCCTTGGCCGGAGAGCGAGAAGCCTAGCCAGTTATCTGCAGAAGCCATTAGCTACTAGACACCAAAATCACTAGCTTAATTAGCTTTCTTCGTGTATCTTTTCACTGATTAATTTGCAAACAAGAACCAAGATTGCTAGCCAGATTGTTCTTTGATCGATCAGTGCAGCTACCGGAATCTTGCATCGGCAATGGCAAGTCGGCAACCAGCTGATCTTCAGGTGTAGCTAGCAAGGTCAGTACTGTGAGAATGGGGGAAAGAAGAGTAAGTGGCTAAGTGCTCGCTAGCTGAGGCCTGAAGGCTAAAGCAGCAGGTGATCTCTATAGTTGTGTACTTATACAAACAGTAAGCGCAGGTCGTAACACCCATTTGCACCCCTAGTTCCCATTGATCCAGCAATTTTATATTGAGTGGCTACACAGTATAGGCTAGTACCAGTATGCATCCTAAACAAAAATCAACGAGAGAAGGATGAAAAATCCAAGCCGACTGGTCGGCCGGTGCATGCTCGCTCGGCCAGTCAACAGTTCCAGTGACGCTACCTACACAGCTACACTGCAAAAACGTCTTCGTGTTTAGAGAAGCTCCATGTTTTAAATTTTTTTCCCTTGCCCCTCTCGTGGATACGGGAGCCTCTCGAGACAAAATTCTCCCCCGAAAGATTCCTCTCCCAAAGAACAAAATAACGAAACGTGAGCCCTTAATTTGGTCAAACGACTAACTCAGGTTAAAACCTGACAGAGCGAGACCCCGTGCATATGCACGCACAATCTCCCTAGCTGTTACAGGCTTTTGTAATGTTCTCTCCGATGTGTATAAATTGGACCACCGTGCAGGGGGGCGTGGACTTCCTCAAGATTTCAATCATGATTAAGTACAAAGTAATCTTTGGTTTTTGTGAACAGTGACTCTAGGACCACATAATTAAGGGTAAATTAGATACTCCAAACCTGAACATCTTGTAGTGTGGGACCGGTCGCTGAAAAGTGCATTTGCCTTTTGGTACAAATGGGCTCAACGCGGTTCAGAGCGATTTGAAGTTTAGAACTTTTGTTTCTCTCGTAAAATTTCTAAGGCAAGCCTATCCACTACTGCAAAATGGCACTAAAGGGCTATAAAACAAGTGCGCTTGCAAGATGCATTTATAAGCTAGTTTAGCTAAAGGAAATTTGTATTTGGTTGTAGCAAAGGATGAAAGGAGGAACCTAAGTGCAAAGGGATTCACCCAACCTGACAAGCCGCACAATATTGTATCTTTAGTAGCTGCCGTTGATATGTGGATCGGATCCACCTGTCAGTCTTTGCTACTACAAGTACATTATTGTAGAGCATTTTTGTCCGATATGCTAATATACGGGCGACCTTGTTATATTTAAAGTGTTTTATTTGGTAAGATGTTCATCCTTTTATACGTGTCATCTATAATTTTATTTTTTTTTATTTTTTTAAAATAAGTAAATTACATTGGCGGTAAAAAAAGTTGGCAGGTGGGTGCAATTAGGTACAAGAACTTGAAAATCGAGCATGACGATACAATAACTTTAGGAGAAGATTACAACTTAGGAAATTTTGCCACGTCGTCGTTGTTCCACCTTAGCGAGATTGTGATATTAGCAGTGACACGGAAGAGGTGCTCTCCTATATATCTGATTTTATAGAGTGAACCCCTTATACTTTTGTATTCCAGTTACTTCTCCTTCAACAGCTACAAAGGATTTTATGTAAAATGAGATAGGAGAGCATCTCTCTCATGTCACTGCTGATGTGAGTATGTGACAATCTCGCTGAGATGGAACACGTAACAAAAATTTTCTATGTGGCAACCTTCTACACTACGAGCGCACCACCCACTTAACCAAGTTATTGTATCGCTATGCACGGTTTTCTAGTTCTTGCACCCAACCACACCCACTTACCAACTTCTTGTATCGTCAACACAATTTACCTTTAAAATATGACATATATTGTTCTACATTTAATTTGACTTTCTACAAGATGTAACAAAATAAATAAATATAATTGTGAATGTGCGTATACTAGGTTTAATTTAATTTGTTGTATTTACTACAACTTGGGAGAAGAGGGAAGGAGCCACTAGTGCCCTCTCCGGCTCCATCTTGCCACCACCGCCATCTCTACTTCTAGAAGATGATTGGGAATAGGGGTGGGCAAAATAAGACCGAACCGAAGAACCGAACCGAAAAGACTGAGACCGAAAAAACCGAGACCGAGAAATTCGGTTAGTAGTTTGGTCTTGGCCATTGAAAGACCGAAATTTATTCGAGTAATTCGGTCATTGCCCTCGGTTAACCGAATTAACCGAGAAAACCGAATTTTGGTCCAATAAGCTTAGGAGGCCCAATAAACTCAATAAACTACTAAACCCTAGAGGCAACCACACATCCAATCCCTCCTCCCACCAGCCTCACGCAGCGCCGCCTCTCCCCATCGCGTCACACTCGGCTCGGTCACGCCGCCTCCACCTTCCGCCTCCACCGCACCGCCTCCGCTTCCACGGCGCCTCCCCCGCCTCCGCCTTCCGCCTCCACCATGCCGACTCTGCCTTTCCGCCTCCACCGTGCCGCCTACGCCTCCACCGCGGCGGCGCCGCCTCCACCTCCGCGGCGCCGCCTCCGCTCTCCGGTCCCCGCCCTCCACGCTCCGCCCGTCCGCCTCCATCGCGCCGCCTCCGCCGGGCGCCAGCCCGTCCTCCACCTCTATCGCGCCGGCGCTGCCTCCGCCGGTCCATCCTCGACCTCCATCGCGTCGACGCCGCCTCCACCGGTCCGTCCTCCGCGAGCCCGCCTCTGCCTCAACGCCGCCACTGCGTCGCCTTCGTCTCCAGCCAGACTGCGGTGGGGGATTCGATGCGTTCGCGTTTGAGCCGGTCCCCCTCTGTCAAAATTCGGTTAGACCGAGACAAAAAAATCGAGACCGAATTTGTCGATCCTGAGTTTTTTTGGAAGAAATTCGGTCCTCACTTTTCAAAGACCGAAATAACCGAAAGACCGAAGACTGAGACCGAATTTTTCGGTCAGACTGAACGCCCACCCCTAATTGGGAAGGAAGGAGAGGGACAGACTACATATGGGTCTCGTTTTTTTTTACTTGACTACGATTCCGCATAAAATTGAGATCCACTATAGTTGGAGGAATACTTCACTATGAGTTATTATGCACCTGTTTTAATAGTTGGAGGAGTTTTTATATCCGGTTTTTATGAGTGAGGGATACAAATCTGATCCGATTTATGTTTGAGGGAGTTAAATTGGACCTTTTCTATCTTACGCACCTTTTGGGTCCGTCTCCGAGTACTAACTACATGAGCCCGGAGTCCGATGTGCACAAGGTCCGACCCGGCGAGAACTTCCCTTCACGGCCCAACAAGGCAAGCAAGAGCCCACAAGCGCAATCCGTGTCCGCGTACGGGCCGCCGCCACGCGACTGGCTTCCGACGCCGACCCAACACCGCAAAACCGATCCCGACACGTACCGTGTGCGGTGGTGTGCCGCTTCCAAACTCGAAGCCGAACCCGAGCTGTACCCGGCGGCGCCTGCCCGCCCCCCCTTTATATTCTCGGCCGTCGCACGCCGTAGCCCACCAACGAAACACAAAGCGCAACACAGCAACAAGCAACAGATCACGTACGATCGCTCGGTGTATTCACGTCGGCTTCGTCGTCGATTCGACCGATCGTACGTCGAGAAGATGGCGCTCCAGCCAAGCTTCAACCCCTTCACGCTGCTCGAGCGCAACAATCCCGGCGACAATCCGCTGAGCAAGGAGAAGGAGCCCGTCGCCTACAGGAAGCCGCCCGTGCCGCCGGCGGCCTGGCCGTCCAAGTCGGCGCCGGCGCCGAAGAAGAAGAACGACGACAAGAAGAAGAAAAACAATAACAACAGCAAGAACAAGAAGAAGCCGCAGGAGGCCGGTAAGGGTGCCGCCAATGCCGCAGCAGGCAACAAGAAGCCCAGTGCGGTCAAGAAGGAGGACACGGCCAAGTACATAGGCTACCAGTACAGGGCGCCGATCAGGACGAAGAAGCCGGACCCGGAGGCGGACAAGAAGAAGGAGCAGGAGGCGGCGGCGGCGCCGCCGTCTCCGCCACCGCCGCCGCCTAGGCCGGCTACTCCGCCACCGAGCTTCGATGACGCGGCACACTTCCCGACCCTGGGGAAGAACTCAAAAAAGAAGTAAAGAGCTGATCTCTGTTCGATCATGAAGTCGAGTCGTGTTTAGTAGATTCTGTAGTCGCTAATACAGTAGGTACTTTTTTTTTACGACAGTGTCCTTCCGTCTTATGTGTGTTAATCTGGGTTGCTGCGAAGTGTGTTCAATGTGGCATATCGAGTTTACATAAAGCTGTACTGAGTTTGTTTTATATTTTTTTTAATTTTTATTCTACAATACAACGTACATTTTTTTTATTACATACGGCGACTTATACACTGCGCAAGTGCACCAAATTGACCTACGCTCGACTGCCCAAGAGAAGGATGCCATATTATAGGCATCTATTTTAATTTTAGTTTTTCAGAGCCTCTTTCCAAACCCAGGATGTAGGAACACGTTATATCCTGGAAAATAAAATATTGAGATATGCAACTTAGAAAATTTATCACAATAAAGTTGGGGTTTTTTTTACAACCCTGTTTTTATTTTTCAAAATATCCGTCTCAAGAAAAGGTTTAAAAAATAAACTGGCAAACAGTAACTTTCAGGGTTCATCGCTAATGCTGAATATTGCAAAAACAGAGAGTTCTTTTCAGTTGCCAATAGGAAAAATATAGGATTACTTGTTCTTCTAGGACTAGAATCCCATCAGACTATCAATAGGCCCTAACCCTGAAACTTACAAGCTCTTCTCTCTTTTTAACAAGTCCTATCAAGTAACCATATAAAATACATGGATGATCTTTGACACGGATCTTTGACACGAAGCTAGAGGGACGTGGTTATTGATATATAGGACCCACCATCCACATGTCCATATATCAATGATGAACTCGGGGAGAAGTTCTTGTTAGAGAACACACCTTTCCACCTAACATATAATACTAGTTAGGGCATTCACAATGTGTAAAAAAGTGGGTAGTAAGGAGTCGTATTACCTGGTTCATCATTATTGGAGTAGGCAGTAAGATGGGTAATAGTTTCATCCGGTAGTAGTGCTACTACGAGACAATAAGGAATAAACAAATATTAAGATTCTCCCTTCTCTCATTCCCTCTCTTTTTTACTTATCCATTCTCTTAAATATGTTGTGTGAACTAAAACAACTATACGCCCTGGTTTTGTAGGTCCCACCCTTACTACATACCTAGTAAACATACATTGAGAATGCCCTTAACGCATCCATAATGTGTATCTAAAGTGGATAATAAGGAACAAAATACTACTACTACTAGGTTATAACATTGTGGAAGTGGTAAGTAACTAATACTCCCTCCGTTTCAGGTTATAAGAAGTTTTGACTTTGATTAAAATCAAACTGCTTTAAGTTTGACCAAGTTTATAGAAAAAAGTAGTGACATTTTCAACCCAAGATAAATTTAATATGAAAATATATTCAACTATTGATTTGATGAAACTAATTTAGTATTATAAATATTACTATATTTATCTATAAACTTAGTCAAACTTGAAACAATTTAACTTTAACTAAAGTCAAAACGTCTTATAACTTGAAACGGAGGGATTACTAGGTAATATGCTTACTACCTAGTCATAAGGAATAAAGAAATAATTTCTCTCATCCTTGTCTCATGGCTAGTGACTGTGGGGTTCAGCTTACTACCCACTTTTATTTTTTCATCATTGTGGCTACAACAACAACTAATACCCACTGATGTAGGCCTATCTTTATTCATAAAGTAGATAGAGTAAATCTTAGTGATGTCTAGAGAGTAGATCATACTTCAGTAGGTATTAGTTGTCGTAGCTAAAAGGACGAAAGAATAAAAATGGTAGTAAGCTAGGTCCCACAACCACAGTCAGGAGAGAGCGATGAAAAAAAACATTTGTTTATTCCTTACATCATACTGTTGTTTGCTACTCCCACATATATATAACTATAAGTAATTTATTTTTTATTACCCACTCTATATTCCCACTGAATGCCCTTAAAAACATACTATAGCGAGATTCTGCAAAGTTTGAAGCAAAGTGGGTGGTCCTTTTCCCCACTGTAAGTGCTGAGAAGTGTTTTATCTTTGTTTTTTTTCCCAGGGAAGTGCCCAGAAGATTTAATGTAGAGTAATACCTCCGTTTTTTAATAGATGACGCCGTTGATTTTTTTCTCACATATTTGACCATTCGTCTTATTTAAAAAATTTATGTAATTATAATTTATTTTGTTATAAGTTGTTTTATCACTCATAGTACTTTAAGTGTGATTTATATCTTGTATATTTACATAAAAATTTTGAATAAGACGAATGGTCAAATATGTGAGAAAAAGTCAACGGCGTCATTTATTAAAAAATGGAGGGAGTACAGTTTAATTGCTCCTCGGATGGATCTGGTATAGTTCTGCAAAAATTTGTGTTCAAACCTTCCATGTGATTTTGTTGAATTGTTGGGCCAAGTAAATCTGGCATTCATGTGAAGAAGTACTCCCTGAACACAAAGCTACTGATGACTCGGTTCAGGCACATGGACCATCGGGCCCCACTCGTCAGTGACCGAGCAACCCCCAGATCCCAACGGTCAAGTGTCCGGACAGGCCACACCCAACGGCTACTTTAGCCGCGAACTCCCTTAACATTTCCCACCTCTTCCTCCGCTCCCATCACTTCCTCTCCTAGCTCCGACGATCGCCGGAGACCACCACTAGTAAGCTTCGAGGCCGAGATGAATAGTGCGGCGGAGACAGAGACCGAGGGAGGCGGCGGCGCCGCGGCCGTGGAGCCGCAGGTGGTGGTGGTGGAGCGCGTGGTGACGGTGGAGTACCTGGAGCCGTCCATGTCGCGGGGCCTGCTCGGCATGTTCCCGGACTCCTCCGCCTTCGACTTCGACTACTCCCAGAGCGGCATCTGGTCCCCGCTGAACAAGGTGCCCCGCGCGTCGTCGTCGCCGCCGCCGCCGCCGCGCTCCGGCGGAGGCGGGGCCGAGGGCTCGAGGGACTTTCTCATCGCCAACCCGAAGCGCAGGGCGAGGGCCGCCATCGGGGGCAGGTCGTCGAGGTCGCGGCGGCGGCGGCTGAGGCTGCGGCGGGAGGACGGCTCATTCCTGAACCTCCACGAGACGGGCTGCGCGAGGCTGGACTTCTCGCCGCCGCCACCATCGTCGCCTCTCCCGGCCAAGGTAGCTTTCTGCATACAGATCCCCCCATCCTTACGCTTCATGAATCATCTCCGCCATTACGACGAGGCTTCTGCTGGTTGGATTCTTCAGGAGGAAGGGTGGAGGCGGGTGCTCAAGGCGGCGATCAGGAAGTTCAAATCGCGGCAGCGCCGATCCCGGCCGGCTCCCCTGCTCCAGATGATGCTGCCAACGCTATGATCGATCGATCGACCGAGCAATCGATCTCGTGGTTCGCTCGTTCAGTTCGATGTTGCATGAATCAATCACCACGCGTTCTTTCAGTCGGATTTGAATCGCCGGCCGCCCGCGACACGCCCCTTCTTCGTGTAGTATAATTTAGAAGTTACTGAATTTATCCGTATACCACATGTAATTTGTAAGTTGTGCTTTGTAACGACGCTCTCGCTACAGATTCAAATTTGAATATATAAATTCAATCGACTTTTTAGGCGAAAGATCTGTTGCGATTTTCAATAGGAAATCCGAAGCCGTAACGAGCCCGGATTCTCCTCCAGATCGAAACCCCGTCTTTATAAAATACCCCGTGGATATCGTGCAAGATTCCGGCGGTTAAGGTTAGGTCTGTCTGCGTCGAGGTACGTACATGGCTTCCAACGGCTGCGGCGGCGGACACAGTGGCCAGCCGGCGAAGGTGGCGGCGGCGGGGGAGGCGAGACAGTGCATCTGCTCGCCCACGACGCACGAGGGCTCCTTCCGGTGCCGGCTCCACCGGCGCGGCGGCATGCCGAGGTCGGCCTCGTGCCAGCAGCTTCAGCTTGGCGCCGAGAGCTCGCCGCTGCTCTGCTCCGCGGCCGCCATGCGGAGGTCCGCGTCGCAGCTGCAGTTCGCGAACCAGCACCCTTTGGACCCCGGGATGTCGAGGTCGGCGTCGGAGAAGGAGCTCCCGCCCTGCGCCGGCGTGCCAAGATCGGCGTCGTGGCAAGATTTTGCTCAAAAGGAGGATCACTGATCAACAAGGGGGATTCCACGAACCCCCTGAAGCCTGAACCAGTCTGGTTCCTTCTTCTCTTTCAGTTAGCATGTGCAACTCTGAATAATTCATTTTGGCAAAATTGGTTTTGTAGCATTCGAAGATCACAAAGTTCTATAGCACAGAAAGATCTCAATTCATTTTCTTAATAATGCATTGCCCGATTGCCGTGTCGGCTTCTGTATTTAGGTCGGGACTAGTTCATGTTTCAAGGCCGCGCTATTACTTATTAGTCAGGTTCAGCCTATGTAATAAGCATTGTGAAATTCTTTCTGAATCTTCGAATTGGCAGAATTGTGGGTGAAACACCCTAGCTTCAATACATAGGGTTCATGGTTTGCACAGTCTTTTTTTTCCTGAAAAAAAATCTCAGTTCTTATTTTCGTCAAAAAACGAAAAGTAAATTTCATAAAACTACAATCATTTGGTCTATTATCACTTAATTAACTTACAACCTTAACCCACACTCTCTCTCTCTCTCTCTCTCTCTCTCTCTCTCTCTATATATATATATATATATATATATATATATATATATATATATATATATATATATATATATATATATATATATATATATATAGACTATTCTACACCCCTTATAGAATAACTATTCTGTACCCCTCTCCCTCCAGTCCTGCACCCTACGTCTCCTATGCGCGCTCCTCCTTTTTTTTTCTGGCGCCCTCCCCACCCTGCTCGATCTCTCTTCTCCCCTTTTTTTTTCCTCCCCTCCCCTCCCCTTTTTCTTCTAGCGCCTCCCCTCCCTGCTCGATCTCCCTTCTCTCGTTTTCTTGGCTTTTTTTCTCTTCCTCTTTTCTCTCATTTTTTTTGGAAATAAACCTTTTTTTCTTCTTTTTTCTAGAAAAATTAAAAATAATTTGGTGAATTCAAGATTTGAACACATGAGCTCATGGTTCATGAGAAGCTCTCCTAACCCATTCAACATATGACACTGTATGATTAGATATCATTATGTTACTATAATTCGGTAGTAACGTTATAGAAGAAGTACAGTAACATGATACGTTACTGCAAAATTTATAGTCTGTTACTGCACTTCTGGCATGACTGTAGAAGTGCAGTAACATGATACGTTACTGTAAAACTTATAGTCTGTTACTGCACTTCTGGCATGACTATTTTTTGACGCTGTTACTGTGGAAATTAGTCATGTTACTGCACATTGACTATCGTGTTACTACACTGTTCCTACGAGACGAAAACTGAAAAGAGGTAACTCTCTATCTTTAGAGAGCAATCTCTCACAGATCATATCTTTTTTTTCTAATCCGTTTGCACTATAGTGCTCGTAAAAAAGTGCCTAATGAAACTAGATCCATCATGACTATTTTTTGACGTCATTACTGCGGAAAGCAGTCGTATTACTACACGTTGACCATCATGTTACTACGTCGTTCCTGCAAAACGAGAACTGAATTACTGCACAAAAGTGGAAGTGTTACTACATGACAGTTACACGTTACCACATGTTTATGTAGTAACACTATCCAAAAAATACAGTAAGATGCATTGTTACTGAACTTATAGTGTTTCCAGCACTCTTACAGTAACATCGCTATGCGATTGTAGTAACGTACAACAGACATGTAGTAACAAATAATAGTATAGCATTACTACTTGTAGAGAGACAAATTACAAAAAGTCAAGCTTTGAAGAACAATATCTCCCAAGTGATGTAAGGTTTTTCAAAACCGTTTGCACGATGATGCTAGAAAAAAAGTGCTTATCAAAAGTAGATCCGTCATGACTATATTTCAACTATATTTGAACGTTGTTATTACACATAAGACACAGTGTTACTGCACATTGGTCGTCGTGTTATTGCACGTTCTGTGGGATGAGAGCTAAGAAGAGGTGGGCGGTGGGGGGAGTTAGTAGGCGGGTTTGACCGGCAGGAGAGGGCTTTGACTGGCCTTTTACAGAGGTGGAAGGTGGGTGTGACTCTTGGGAGGGAGGGTGTAGAATATATATATATATATATATATATATATATATATATATATATATATATATATATATATATATATATAAGTACAACTTTAGCAAATGATTTTATCAAATAACTACAAATTTATCTCCTGCATGTCATTACATGTGAACTGAACTTATAACAGCATGAGTATTACATGTGTGTATGACAATGTGTTGGAGTTCTAAGTTATAAGATCTTATTACTTTAGTCATTCTCTAAATGCAAAATAACTTAATCTACTGACTTGCTTGTGAAGCCATCGATGTCGATTTCTCTGGTTCTCCTTTTTTTCCTTCTCTTCTTCCTTTTTCCTTCTCTTCTTCTTCTTTTGGTTCTTGCGCCAATATATGAACATGGACACTGGCTTGATCAACTTCTTGTCACTGGCTTCTTGCAAGTCTCGATGACGTTCGGGTCTCCACTGGCACTGCCCTGATATGGCTACACGAATCTCTGCCAGTGCTTAAAACCGATCGGCGGTGTTTAGGGTTTTGGGTTTTCGCGCATAGGATTAAGCATCCTCTCTCTCCTCTACGTTATATAATATTGGTGGGGTTCGGGAGCTTATCTTCAATTAGGATTCAAAATTGGTTTTAACCGATCACAAAACCAACTTATCTCTTTCTTTTATTTTCTTGTTAGAATTAGGCTGTGGGCTTATCCTTTTCTAACTTATTGGACTTACCCTATAAATCAACCAACAAAATGGATTTAAACTTATGAGATAAATAAAGTTGTAGCTTTCTAATAAAATCATACACCATTATTGCACTTCTCTAACATGCCCAGTTAAAGTTGTAGTAGAGTGAAAATGTTGATAAAATAGTCATAGTTTTCTGAAATTTACACAAAATTTATCTTAACGAATGGTGTGCACTGTTGATGTGTGATTGCTTCAGGTAAACCGATGCCAATCTGACCCTGTACGGGCAGCAGTAATAAAACTGCAGGGGCAGGCAGAACCGCAGAAGCGGCCGTCCCTTGGAACCAGGCGGAATCGAGGGGGCGCGAGAAAGCAGCGATCGCCAAACATGCAGGCAAGTCTCCCTGCGACTGTCTCCTCTCCCATATCTCACAACGCCCTTGTCTGGGGATCGTAGAACAGGAGACAGATATTCCTGCCAACCTGTTGCATCCAAGCCGTTTTTATATGCTTACTAATGTATAGTATCGGACTATCGGTGTAGATGATTCAATAGTCTAATGTCTAATGCATGCCGGCATCTTAGTTTAGTGTCCAAGAGGATACCTAAAACTCTGAACTCACGGTGGTCTAGCCAAGTGGCTGCTGGATCGCTAGCATACTTTGGAAGCTTCAATCTAGTAACGCCAGCATTCTCTCTACCTGCCTCTGGCAGCCTGGCACTCCAACCGTGCACTAGGACGCTTAAACAAATTCCCATGCCCTTTTTTTTCATGCTGGCCTTATGATTGGCTTAAGCTTTTAGTTCTGAATAATCTTCACCGACAAGGAGCTAATCTAATGCCAATAATACTACGGTAGGAGTGGTAGTTTTACCAAAGAAGTATAAATCATCAAGTGCGGCGAAAAGGACAATTGTCACTAGAAAAGAAAAGAGGAACTGAACAAGCGGGATGGCAATTCCCTTAATCCCTTTCTCTTCCGGGTAATCAACAGTTCCCGACAGAAATAACTACAAGCTCTCGTCGTCGACACTACCTGGAAAACTAGTCGTGCTACAAAGATTACATTTCATCTATCTCATCATCTCTCCACCGAGATTACATTAACAGTTGTGCTGCGTGCAGAGTCACTGCTCACCAATACCGATCCAATTCCTCCAACGTGCTCTTGCAAAGGAATGAAGCTGTGAATCTTTCTGAAAAAGGATAGGAGGGGGAAACATGAATTAGAAGCTCAATATTCACAATTTGCCCCTCGTTTCAATATTAATATTTCACTGACCCGGATAAAAAAATCCAGAAATTTTAAAGTTTTATAAACCAATTGTCAGGACCTAACAACATGTGTACTCTTGTCAAGAACAGTACACATCATTTTAAACCCTCATGTCGACTGTGTATGGAAGCAGTGCATTGATAAAAGACCATGAACAAACAATAATGCAGCCTAGCTGTATTGCACAACATGGTACAAACATTATTATCAAAATAAAAGGAGATATTGGAGAAAATTTCAAGCATAAAAGTGATGCTTGCCTGATCATTGCTTTGTTACTTTCTATTTGCGAGACTCCACCAGTATATAAACTGGTTTTCCATTGAGCTTGTAGAAATTCTGTATAAAACATGCAAGTCCAGTAAGCAAATAATTGATCAAGGTATTAAAAGTGAGATGCGATTCTCAATTTTCTTAACCAAAATATGAGTGTACCTTATACTTAGGAAGGCCAATGAGGCATGCACACTCAACTACGTCAGCTCCAGCTCGTTCTGGAATGCAAATAGTTTGAGCAATAAGCATAAACAGATGTAAACACTAGAATAGTTAGTTGTTTTAGTGTCATAAAAAGAGAAAAGGGAGGGTCTTGAATGCTCGATTCTTATCCACGAACTTTTCGGTTGTAAGATAAGATCAAAATTATGCCTCCAGTCTTATCATGCATGTAGGTGATTAGCCACCCAATAGGACATATCTTCCGGACAGGATTTTGTCCCATGAATAAACAGTTTGTCCCGTTGACTCACTGGGGAGCATACTTTTCTTAAGGTCAACAGAACATGATGCCCCTCTACTCTACATATTATCACTGAGCTGTTTGATGCTTGACAATGTTACATGATCTTCTCCACTATGATCCATGATATTCAGCTTCACGTCCTGTATGTTTTACTAAATTAGTAGTACATGATATACACATTCAGTACTCCATTTTCTTCCACTTTCTCTCACTTTCTTTGTCCGGCACTATGTATTTAAGATATTTTCGTTTAATATGAATCATTTTGAAGTCAGAATATAATGTTTGTTATTATCACAAGAAAATATCAGAATATCCTTTCCACAACAGTCAGCAAATATCCTAAATAACTCAAGGTCCTCTATTGCTTATCTGTTCAGGAAAACCAAATTTTCAGCTTAAAATGTGTGTTTTATTATTCGACAGACTTGAGAAGTTAAAACATATGATAAGTCACCTAGAAGTAGCATTATAGAGCATAGCAAACTGAAAATAACAATAGTATTTTTTTAACACTTACGTACGTACTTGTTTAGTGTTGTCCACAGTCAATGAATTACATTTGCATACATGCTGAGGAGACAAACGGTTAGTTACTCACCAAGAAGTTTTATTGCAGCACAAAGTGTTCCACCGGTTGCAACTAAATCATCAACGACCACTACGCGCTCACCAGGTTCAGTAGCTCCAACATGCATCTCCAAACAATCCGTCCCATACTCAAGTATATAGGTCTCAGAAATTACCTCACCTTTAAGATTTGTAAAAGCCACTGTTAGCACATTCTACTAGCAACTCTATATTGAGTTTGTAGTATATAGCTGTATACCAGTACCAAAGCGGAATAAAATCTACAGTTCTATTCATCAGACCATTTCAATGATCCTCAAACAACATTTATTGAGTGTACTCAAGCTATAACTATTTCAGTAGCTGACATGATGAGTGGTTCATGTGCTAACAGGTTCTATGAGTAGTAGCAGTAGTACATATATAATGTTGCTACAGCATTTTCAGTGGAAGCAAATGTACTGTGTGCGAGTAAACAAATTAATACATTCATCCTAAAATATAAGGGATTTTACTCATGTAAACTATATGGGTAAAATTCCTTATGTTTTAGGATGTAGGTATGCTCCTTGTATGAGCGAAATGACATAGTCCGTAGTTCACCTGGGAGTTTCTTAGGTTTGCGCAACGGTATGAATTTTGCTCCAATTGCTAGTGCGATCGCTGGGCCAAATATGAATCCTCTGGCTTCAATACCTAGCATAAGTTGGAGAATTTCACCATATATATATACACATGGAAATTAGATTTATAACAGTAAAATTCACAAAACACACATATTTGACAAAACTATAAATTTAAGATGTAAGATCCCAAAGTTATATGTTTAACATCAAATTTTTCGTAGAACTACAGTTTTTCCCACCAAATTTACTACTAGAAATCTACAATTTTAAAGTATCCATCACTAGCAAACGTCCCTGATAGAACTTCCATATGTACTTTTGCAACACAGTGTTCGATGTTCATTGTAGCCTTGTAGGAGTAAAAACTTTCAACTAGCCAGTATAAATACGATGACGTTGCGATGGCTATTCAATTATTGGAGGTTTATGTCACAACAAACGCCATAATGCCGTGAAAGTAAAGTGCTTCGAGCAAACACACACGGCCGGGAAAAGCTAATCAGACTCTGTACTCCAACTCCCAATCTAAAAAAATCAGATCATTGTACTCGCGGCCGGTTTGCATCTAGAACGAAAAACGTGAGGTCGTGCAGTACATGCACTGAGCGAAAGCGAGCTCAGTTTGCACTGCATAGAATCAAAACCAAACGGAAACCATCATGTGATTGTTCCAAAGATGACGACACTACACGGGAGAGAGCGAGACCTCCGACACCGCATGTGCGCAATCATGGCCGTCCGATGAGGGAGGGGATCCCCGGCCCACAGAGCGGCTGGGGGCCGGTCCCCGCTCACCCCACACCACAACGCAGCCGAGGGAAGAGACCGAACTGACTCCCCGCTGCCCAGCCTGCTACCACCGAGCGTGTCATAGGAAGGAATCGCGACCTCTCCGACTCTCCGTGCGTTGATCGATCGATCGATCTCTCGTTGTTTGTTGTTTCTCTCGTCCCACCCAATCACCGGCCGTGTACATGGCTCCGATCCGCGCATTGAATCGCCCAAGATTCCGCTGGCCCCAGCGGAGCCCCGCGAGCGGCGGAGCCAGCCAGCCGCAGCCGCGCCAGCCAACCAGCGAGCGCTCGCTCGACGCGACGCGACGAGGCGTACGTACATTCTGGCCGCACGCACGCACGCGGATCGGCGCCTCGGAGCGCGCAGCCGTGGACCATACAGTACCACCGCGCTACTACGCGCCACGCGCGCACGGACGGACGGACGGATGCACACGCACATCCCCCACATGCGCCCGCGCCCGCGGCGCACGTAGTACGTAGCGTGCGGTGCAGGGAGGCATCGGCATTCTCCTCTCCGCCTCGGCGCGGCGCCTTTCCTGCGGCTGCTCCATCCACAGCCGTGGCCCGTGGAGGCATTGGCCCCTGCATTTATTGCCCCTCTGGACCAGACGGCGAGAAAGACATACTCCTATGATACACTAGTATAGTACTCCTATGTTCGACATACGTGCGTGTATCGACAGTTGTCACAGTTCAGCAGCGCATGCACCTACCGGTCTACCACCACCACTGTTGCGCCCGCACGGCCGCTGCTGATGCTGCCGGAGTTTAATTATCGCAAAAATTGTTTATATTGAGAAATAGTAGGAGGAGGTGAGAGGGGAAAAAATTGCTGCAGGTGGTGACTGGGATGATGACCTGATCAAACGACAAAGCGTAGGGGGACAAAAGGAGCAGGAAAGATCTCCCCCAAAGATATTACGGAATCTCACAACACCGCCGCCTCAGTCCCACAGCTCGGCTCGGCCGTCGCCGTCGGCGTTGGTGTCAGGCTCGGCGCCGCGCCGCGCCGCCGGCACATGGCGACGCGAGGGCAAAGGCGCCGCGCAAAGGATCATGGTTTGACCGGTTTGGTTGGGAGAGTGCTTGGACGTACGGCTGTTTATAGTGTTTACCTGCGACGGCCGCGATGCGCATGCCGCGGTAGCGCTCGACGAACATGTCCACGGCGTCCTTGAACGCGGCGGGCCGGAGCAGCAGCGCCGTGATGTCGTTGAACATGATCCCTGCAAATTAACGTAGAGCCGCGCGTGACTTGGTTTCACGTGGTCAACTGATTTGGCGTGGTCTTAAAACGGTTTCGACATCGATCGATCGAGCTTAGCTAGCTAGTGAGTACGGGCGGCGGACCTGGCTTGGGGAAGTGCGGGACGACGCGGATGGCGTCGGAGATGGCCTGGAGGCGCGGGTCCGCGGCTCGGCCGTTCTCCTTCGGCGCCGCAGCCGCCGGAGCCTCCACCGTGCCGTCCTCGCAGCCGCAGCTGCTCTTGCTGTCGTTGCTGATATCCTCTTCCCCCATAAGACGATACAAGCGAACAGTGGAGTCCTCCCTCCTCCTCCTTTTGCTGCCTCGGTTGCTTCTTGCTCGCCGGACGGGTTGGCTTGACTGCTGCTGTTGCTTCTTCTTCTTCCTCCGGCTATCGCTTTGTGAAGAGTGGTAGCTGGGAGCGTATAAATAAACACGGGGAGGAGGGCACAGAGCGCCGGGTGGGCGTAGCAGCGAGCGGGGGAGGTAGTTTTTATTATCCTTGGAAACCGGCAGCCCAGGACCACCTTTCCGCTGTGCATTCAACTCAGCTCTCGCTCACTGGCCAGTTGCCAACCTCTCCCCTACTGTGCCTGTGTGTGCTCCCTGTCACTGCGGTATTGATGAATCATGGATCAGCAGGAGGAGATTTCCCTGGATGGGTGAGTCGCCACTTGCCACACTTGCCAGCATGCAGGTCTTTGCATGCTTTTCCGTTTCAGAGGGCCAGAGATTTTGCCTCAGGAATCGAGATGCGCTACTGATGCAACAGCTGCTAATCTGCTATAGTAGTATCTGCCTTAGCTGACACATCTTTTCTACCTGTAGGGTTCATCTTTTTACGGCGCCCTTGCCCGCGCTGCCTGGTGAGAGGGGGCTAGCTGAGCAAAGGATCCGATGCTGCCCCGCCTGGCCTACATTTGTGTACGGATGACTTGTGGCAAGTCCACGCTGGTTCATTTGAGATTTGACTAGTTCTTTGCGCTAATACATGCTCCCTCCATCTCACAATAAAATGGCACGCGTATCAAATTAAACGGCATGAATTCGCAAATGTAGAAATGCCGAATCCTGACTTATACCTAACTTCACCCTCAGACAGCTGTCCGGGGAGAGTATATGTAGCAGAGAAGACGCAAGACCAAGAATTAATCTTGTAATAAAGTGCATGCAGCCTTTAGCTTTTCAAAAGGCACGTTTTTTCCATTTCATGCAAGTATAATTGTCTAAAATTGTGGAGATCATTTCTATTATATCTACAAAATATGGAAACACATTGACACTTATAAGGGACGGGCGCATGTTTTTTTTTAGTGTAATGCTACATAGTTAGGAAACCGTTATTTTGCTCAGTAAAAACATAAAACTCCACATAGCAAAAACTAAAGCTCTATGTTAATAGTATCTGTGCGGTTTGCATTAGCATTTATGTTGTCAATTTAGCTATTAAGGTCGGGTCTGTCCATGGTAACCCACTACTTGTGGTTGTTTTGCATCCTAAATGGTTTACATAGCCATCCTAAACTTGCCTAACCTTGTTGGACCGATATAATGGTTTACGTAGCCACTCGAAAAATTTATTTGTTCAACAAACTAGTTCGTGTCAGTAAATTATTTTTTTCTAAGGTGTCACTAGGAAGAGTACAACTAAAAAGAAAAAAGAATGTGTCGCTCAGACATTATTCAATTCCTTTCGTACTCTTGAGTTTTACCTTATTTCTTACATACCTTTGAGTTTTTCTTAAAAAAATCCCTCTATCCCTATTCTGTTTTTTGTTGCCCTTAAGTTGGCCGTTCGATCTTTTCGGAATTACTACATTACCCCATGATTATACACAAAGTATTAGGTTCAAATTTTGGTTTCTGAGAAGGGAAAGAAAAACAGTGATTTGTGTAATTTTCTATTTTGAAATTTCATCAAATTTGATTGCAAAGCATCTAAAAAGATAAATATTGTTTTTCAAAATTTTGGTCAAGCAATTTTTTCCTTCTCGAACATTTATAACTAAAGTTTTTTTAAAATGGAAAATGAAGATATGGGATAAATACATAGGGAATCAAATTGAAAACTCAAGAGTATATAAGGGATAAGGCAAAACTCAAATTCGATGTTACATAAGTTACATAAGAAATTTTCTCTAAATGATAATGCCCACGAGAACAAACTCATAGCTTAGGAGAAGAAGAGAGTTAAGATCGGACGAACAAAGCTTTCCTCGTTTTGCCATGCTAGCGTAATATCTCATTACACCGCAAGCGTCAACTCGGCAAACTGATCATCATTGAATCTAGCTCTTGAGTTTATGTAGACCCTATTTGAAGGAATTTATAGTAGTCGCACGCTCTCTTATAATATCCATCTTCACAATCAATACATATTCTCAACCAGTTTCTAATAGTATGTATAATTATATAATCTAGAAAATAAACTATAGCTACGAAATTGAAAACCAAACATTTTCAGATTCTCAAAAGTTAGCTACCAATAAGTTGTTTCTCGTAATGTTAAGTTCCCTTCAGTTGTAAGCAGTTGCTCAGGCCTTCTCAAAAATCATGATAAAACATATTAGTCCATCTATAGTAGGGCATACATAAGGACATAGATATGGCGAGGCTCCTAGCACGATGCGGCAGCCTGGCCAAGCGAATGCCTAGGGCACGACGGCACGTGTTATGAAAATAGATGCACAACGGAGACACGAATTTTACGTGGAAAATCCTTGCGGGAAAAAACCATAGGCGCCGACTGGCAATGATCACTATAGAGGAATTGGATACAAACGCAGGGGATACATTGGGTTGTCGCACCCTCCCCGTGCGGCTTACAAGGGATATATATAGGAGAAAACTAGGAGTCCTAATAGGAAACTAATCCTATAAAGTAAAGTCCTATTAGATAACTAATCCAAATATATTGTGGGCCTAAAATTCAGATCACATATTTAACAATCTCCACCTTGAGACGAATTTTCCTTGTAGCATAAAAATCTTCAACCTCTAAACAACCTCATGATGATAAAATCAATGTGCGTCAAATCCTGAATCTACTGGTATGACATTGTGGAACCCAACAGAGACGCGAAACTGATGCAGAAACTTCAAACTCGCCATGGGAATAAAATCCTGAATCTGCTGGCATTAATTTCTGGAATCCTAGCAGAAACGCGAAACTGTTGTGCTCAAAACGAAGTACTTAGATCCCCTGATAAACCTTCTGGTACATTGGGTACAATGGTAGCAAAATTCGCCGGACAATTTGATCACCTTGTGATCTAGACAGGAACAAGGCTCCCTCTCGACGACTTGAATGTGTTGCCTTTTTTTTTCTCTCCGGTGCACAGCAATACTTGCTTCTCCTCCTCGATGGCTACGCCAACTTGCATCTTCACTTGCCATAACGAGAATATTGCATCTCAATCCAGGAGCGGTAGATTAAACTTCAAACTCGCCTTGGGAATAAAATTCTGAATCTGCTGGTATAATTTGTGAAACCCTAGCAGAAACGCGAAACACTCTAGGTGCATAAAATGAAGTATTTTGATCTCTGTATCTAAACTCCTGGTAAATCTGGCTTGTGAACGTAGCAATTGAAAGTGAATTTGGGTTCACCTCGACAGAACCAAGCAATGCACAGAACTTGAATTCCTGGTAAACTCCGTGTGTCACAAATTTCCAACCGTACGTGAAAATTAATTCACGTGAACAGAACAGAAGCAGTGGCTCTCGGTGGCTTCTGATTTTTCTCCACCTGTGTGTGCTCGAGGATGACACCGGCTGCTGCTTCCTCGACGCGTGCGGCTGCGTAGACGTGGACGACGGCTGCTGCATCGCCTTTTTCTCCTCGCACAAAAACACCGACTCCGCGTCGGACTTGATGAGCCAACAGATCTATGCGGCAGCAGAAAAGATCGATCTCAGCAACAGATCAATTCAACTGGACGAAAACTCACCAGTCACCACGACACCGTGGGGTAGATCGATATCGCCGAACAGGCGAAACGATGAACTCAACATAGATGACGAACACGACAACGGGGGAATTGTGGAACGGATTTTCATAGTTCTGATACCACCTGTTATGAAAATAGATGCATAACGGAGACACGAATTTTACATGGAAAATCCTTGTGGGAAAAAACTATAGGCGCCAACCGGCAATGATCGAATTGGATACAAACGCAGGGGATACATTGGGCTGTTGCACCCTCCCGTGCAGCTTACAAGGGATATATATAGGAGAAAACTAGAAGTCCTAATAGGAAACTAATCCTATAAAGTAGAGTCCTATTAGATAACTAATCTAAATATATTGTGGGCCTAAAATTCAGATCACATATTTAACAATAGTTCGTCCCGATCAGTCCCGCACACGCACCCTGTACACTACACTACACAACCTGATCCCGGGGCAATAGTGCACGCGATCGTACGTCAACACCAGCGTCGCACGCACACCACCACGTATATCCACGGAGATTGTGCAGCGGGAGACACGACATGCGGTACGTAAGTAGGCTTCATGCGGATGCCGCGCGCCATGCCGGCTCGCACATCGCAACAGCGTGTGTGCCGACGTCGACGTCATCCCATGGCCTCTCTCTCACTGTCGACGATGCAGCAAGCTGCGTGTTCTAGTAGTCCATGGCTAGGTGTGCCACACATTACAACTGTGTGCCCGCGCGCCTGCCGCCATGCAGCGTGGTGGCGTGCGTGCATACACGGGCACATGCGAGTGAGCACGGAGCAGTGACTGCGGACATTAGTTTGACGGGGAAACAGGGAAAGGGGATGTGGTGGGTCTGAGGCGACCGAGTGCATGGGGCAAATGGAGATTTCGTGCTACAGTATAATGAAGATTTCTGGGTCGGCGAGCTGCAGCAGTATATCCATCGCCAGTGAGATCCCAGATATACTATTGGGGATTTGGGGCTGGCCCGTGCGAGCTCTGGCTCCCTCTCTCTTTCGCCCCTCGGTGCTCATTAGCTCAGCTAGCGACTGGATGCTTGCGCCGATTTAACACTGTAGAATGGTTTAGTACTCCTTCCGTCTAGAATATAAGAGATTTTGGATGGATATGATACATCCCAGCACAATGAATACGGATAAACTCTCTGTCAAGATTGATTACTAGGATATATCACGTCCATCTAAAATCTCATATATTTTGGAACAAAATAAATAGTTCTATAGTATTACTATTCGGTGTGTCATTTTGAAAGATATTAAGAAGGCAGGTTCATGTAGTCATTTTATATCAACTTTTGTGGTCTTCTGTAGTCAATGTGTGCACACATGATAGTCAATGACAAATACAGTACGTACCGGCTGAAACGGAGGGGAGTAAGTATTTACTCCGATGCGCATAGCAACCGCCTTGTCTGTACAAAGGTACGCGGCTACATACCCCTATTCGAGCTGAATTAATTCATGTGATGCATCTATAACTGTACCACGCAACCGATCCTGTACCACACACCATATTGTATTAGCCCATGCATGCCCCTCGTAGATTAATTATCATGGAAAATATGTATCGTCCGCTATTAAGTAGTAACCGTGACACGTACAGTGTGTCGCTCTCCGGCGAAGTTGAAAATGGGAGCGACGGAGATGAGAACTCTTCAGGTCCACTGTGAACACGCACACGTAC